GAGTGGTTGATGGCTGGCGCCGGGGTGGCGACGATAACAGGATCATGTGAGGCTGGGGGCCTGGGGGCGAGTAGCGAAGCGGGGGATGACATAATTAATTGAGGCTGATTGGTTCGGGAAGAAAGGCAGTGAGCGTATGGAGATAGGGGAGTCGCAGTTGGAGTTAGCGTTGGAGTTGGTGCCTGGACACTGCTATAAGGTAGCAGTGGATAAGAGTGTATAGTATAAGGTAGCAGTGGATAAGTGTGTAGTATAAGGTAGCAGTGGATAAGAGTGTAAAGTATAAGGTAGCAGTGGATAAGAGCGTATAGTATAAGGTAGCAGTGGATATAGAGAGTACGGACAGAGTATCAAGGACGGAGTGAGTACAGCGTAGCGAAGCAGCGGAGTAACGGACCTTGGTGGAGAGAGAGAGAGAGAGCGAGCGAACGGAAGGACATCGAGTGGGGCTGAAGGAGAATTGTAGTGTATGGAGGAACATTGAACGATGCTGTCGGAGATGTGAACTATATGCGGAATAAAAGGAACGAGAAAGACAAAGAAGTTGTCGCGTCAGTAAGAGTCCTACACAAGCACCACGAGAGCACCCCAAGGGCTGGTGGATGGAAAACGTATGTACGCCACTAATATCTCATCCACCGCCTGTCATACGTGTGATTTTTCGACAGGGCTCATACGATATGAATTTTGCCGAATTGGGGGAGAATCTTCTGTGTCAATGTGATGCTGAGCCAGGCTCGTCTACCCTACATCATACTGCCCTCTGCTGAATACATCAGAGAATTGCAAGAGTAGTTATTTTAGTATGGCTCTCTGCTCCTTTTAGTATGACTCCTGACAACACTGCATTCTCGTCACATAGTTGGTTTAGCCAACTTTCTTCCATTGACGGAACCTCGCGAGTAACTCCTGCTACTATCTTTTCTATTGAGACCTCTGTATCGATAGATACTGGTGTCATGTGTACCATTACGGTTCCTGCCTGCAAGCGATTGGTCTCTCACTGACATTTAACACCTGAAGGAACGGCTTCTGGTCCGCTTGTACAACTTTTTCTGCTGCCGCTAACGTCAATCTGCGAGTCATTGCATTTGATGGAGCAATTAGAACCGAAGACTCGGCGCATGTAGTGACTATTCGTTTATGGTACCTTAGCGGTATGAGCATTTGCATGCCCGGAGGTACATTCACGTATTCACTGACCAATGCCTCCACTGTTAAGCCATCTGAGTACATTTTTCCGTTGCTTTTAGTCCCGGACGGCGTTTCTATGCAGCAATTTTTTTTAAAAGACAGTTCCTTCCAGGTATGGAACCACGAGTATATTTGAAACCAAAATAGATCCCATCAAGGCGAGTTCCCCAATTCGCACTTGTGCATCAATTTTTACCATTATCCTCATGACGCTACGCACCTGGGGGGGGGGGTCAGACATTTCTGACGATGTGACGAGAGGGGGGGGGGTTTGAGAAATGTGACGTCACATCAAAATGCGCAACTTTAAATAGACAACACATTCTACTTAATTAAATATACTTTTTAATACATATTTTCTCCGACAACATCGGAGTGCAGCGGCACATTAAATACACACGACAATGACAATAGTTTAAAGCCATTTGAAGCGTGTTTTATATATTTGGGGGGGGGGGGCAGAGCTTTGTGACGTTTTATTTGAGGGGGGGGGGACTGACTTTATGTGACGCCGAGTGATGATGGGGACAGACCCAGCAGGTGCCATGGGTTGGTTGAGATGACTGGTAGATGCACCAAGATGTACCCCTTCCTGTGCCAACTTGCTGTATTATAGCCACCTGGCGCTCCGCTCGTTGTCGTGAGCGTCGCTCCTCTGCCGTCCGTTGTTGCTGGCGGATGACTGCCTCCAAATGCCCAGTAGCAGCGTCCTTCACGAGCCTCTTCCACAGAGGCCGATCTTGACACCGCTGGTACCAGTTGTCAGGAAGTCCACTCAGCTCCACATCCTCCTGTACCACATCACTCCATCTCTTCTCTAGCCCGTGTCGAGCCCATTTAGCCCCCTCTATGCGGCCAAACAGAAGCTGCTTGGACATGCGGTGGCTGAAAACGCGGGCTACATGACCCAGCCAATGCAGCCTTGCCTGCCGGAGCTCACTGATGGGAATGTGTCCATATCTTTCAAGGATTTGTGAGCTCCTCACACACACACATCCGCGCGCGCACATTCACACACGCAAACACTCACTCCCTGCCCGAGGCTGACTCATTGCACCTCGCGGAGGATCACTGCCGCCGATCGGGTGATCGGCCTCCCCTCACCAGCGTCCTGTCTGTGGGACATGGAAAGTGTCTGGCTCCCCACCGCCTGGAGTTACCTCTCACACACTCCCCATGTACACTACCCCAAATGTCCGGAGGTGGCTGCGTGCTCGCACGTGCCTGTGGGGGCACACCCCCGCTCACCACGGCTCGCGCAAAAAATAGCCGTATGAATATGCACGCGTCCCTCCCCACCTCCCGTTGGGTCGGCTTTAATCCGCTGTGCAAACAAAGCACGCGGACACGGGTACGCAGGCAAAACGATGGCCGGGTTGATGATAAAATACGCGCGCCCCCACCGTTAAATGTGATCGTCGCTACGAAAACACACTGCGTAAAATGCCCTGTGTAAACACGCATGCAAGTGTCAGCGATCGTTTATGATGGAATACACGCGCGCTTCACATGCCTGCACGCACTCGCACCACACCTACGCTCTTCCCACACACACAGAAATCACGCGGCTCCACGGACACGGGAGCCGTTAATGAATTACTACCCGCGCTGGCTCACACACACACGCTCGAATTACACACTACGCCGACACTTTCCCCACACTCACAAAAATCACACCACACGGATCCTCTGTGCTAAAGTTTATTAATGGCACGTCTATAGCAAGCCCTGGGTGGCCCGGAGTAAATACCCAACGAGCAGTGCCTCGCCTATCCCTATTCAATCCCTGAGTGTACTCTCCCCTACTTCTCACCCCGCAGACGTACTCACGGAGTCGTACGGACACGGTGGGAGCCGGAGCGACACTGGCACTTACCAGTGTCGCTCGGACGCTGCGAGCGGCTGGGAGTCGGACTGGGTCGCTCCCCCGCTCAAGGAGAACTGCACGTTTTTTCTCTCCCCTCCCTTTGTCCCCTCCAAATCCAAAAATCTAGGGTCACGTGGTGTTACCCTGCATGGCCAATCAGGTGCCTTTCGATTTTAAACCGATGCCCCGCCCTTACCTGGAACGATATCCTCCAGTGCGCCTTCACCCGTTGTCTACGCACCTACCCTCCCCACCCACCGCCACAACCGGTTTGGTCGGGGTGGCCGCCTCGCGGGTGTCCAGCTTCAGTCGGTTCAGGAACCTCCCTCCAATCTCCTCTTATGCGCTGCTCGCTGGGTGTTTGCCCCCGAAGCCCTATCTCTCTGTGCTGAGTGTTCTCATGGCGGTTCGCTCGGTGAGCTTCGTCGTGCCCATTAAGCTAATTCACGGGGCCGCAATGCCATTCGGCCTGGGGGGGGCGGTCGGCCAATCTCCTGGCACTGGGAAACCGTGGGATATCCCCACTAGTGGCCCCTCGGGTAAAAACCCATGGTACCAGGTGACCCCCCCCCCCCCCCCCGAGACCCTATGTGGGTGCATGTGTGTTTAGTGGGAGTGTGCGTGTGTTCGTGTGGAGGGGTGCGAGGGGATAGCAGCGCCGACAGTTGCTCCGTTGCTGTGGCACCACTAGTGCTCAAGGGTTTCAAGTCGATCGTGACAAACACGAACCGGAGTATCTGGGTGTAGCTAGTCCTATGATTATTGGGCTAACTCTGCATATCCTGCAATCATGATCCAGTAGGACAGGGAGCAGGGAATCCCGGCAATATGAATACGAAGAGGCTTCCACGCGTCCCTGACCCACCCCAGGCGTGCAGTTCACGGCCATGGTGCACCCAAGATGCCTTTTCTTCTGCGTAAACCGTGCCCTTGCACCAGTGGGGCTATTCTACTTGGATCGTACCCTGGCAACTCGTGTTCTCCAGAGAGCGAGGAGCCACAATAACCTGGGACTGGAACTCCGTGGACTGGTGAGGCAGTGCCTCTTGTTCGTTTTCATTGTTGCCCCGATTCACCTCGTCATCCACATTGGGGAGCAGAGATGACCCAGGGCCCATGTCCTCCGATTCACCTTGCCGTCTAGGATTAGGAATCCCCCCAACTTGGCAAGTTTTCTCACTTGATCACGTGAGTTGTGTCGTTAATAAAGAGTTAATTGCAGCCAGGCATGGTCTCCGTATTTCGTCACAAGCGAGCGCCGTTCGGGACCATGTGACGGAATATCACGGAATAATCCGAGGGGGGCGGGGGGGGGGACTGACACCTCCATTTCCGCCGCACAAGCAGCTAAAATGGGGACTGCATGGGCTGGAGAAGAGATGGACTGATACGGTACAGCAGGATGTGGAGCTGAGTAGGCTTGCCATTGACCGGTACCGGCGGTGTCAAGATCGGCCTGTGGAGGAGGCTCGTGAAGGACGCAACTGGGCAGTGCCAGACATGGTGCACGTTGAGGCTACTGGAATGTTGGTAGGTGGTCGCCCTCCAGCGACAGCAGAGGGCAGAGAGAGCTGAGCACCAGATGTATAAAATGCGAGGTGGCACATTGGGGAGCACAGATGACTTGCATCTGCCAGTCATCTCAGTCAGTCAACCCATGGCACCTGGGTCTATTCCGTCACCTGCCAGCGAGCCTTCAACATTTAACGTGCCCTCAAGGTGTACCTAGCCTGGCACAAGCACAATAGTGATGTCACCACCACTTGGTGGCGAAAGGCAAATGTTGTGGGTGAGTGGGTTAGAGGGTGTGGGTGAATGCAAGCTTGACGTGTATGAGAGTGTGACGGTGAGTGAGTGAATGAGAAGGTGAGGTGTGGGTGAGTGGGGGAATGACAGGGTGAAGTGTGGGTGTATAGGTGAGCAGTAGGAGGAGTCAGTCTCTCAGGGTAGAGTTTATTTTCATTGTCATGTGAATTTCTCGTTCACTCAGCACCCACACTTTACCCCACCACCACCAGCACCATCAGCCTGAGCCTCGCCACTCACCGGTCTTCTTGCCGCACTACTTATCTCACCCGGTGAGCAGCTGTTAATGAACTTAAATGCAGCAACTTAGCAAATGGGAGAGTTGGTGCGATTCTCTGTACGAGTCTGTATGTGTGTGTGAAACTGTCTCTGTGTATCTCTGAGAGCCTGTGCATCTCTGTGTGAGTCTATGGGTCTCTGTTTCTCTGTAAGAGTTTGTGTGTCTCTATGAGAGTTTGTCTCTATGAGAGTCTGTGTCTCTGTGACAGTATGTGTATAACCGAGAGCCTATGCGTCTGTGTGCGTCTATGGGTCTCTGTGTCTCTCAGTGTCTATGTGTGAGTGTGTCTCCGAGCCTGGGTGAGTTTGCGTGTCTCTGTGTGAATGTCTCTGTGATAGTCTGTGTCTCTGTAGGAGTCCGTGTTTTTGTGTGAGTCAGTGCATCTGTGTGAGTCTATGGATATGTGTATGTGTGAGTCTGTGTGAGTCTGTGTGTGAGTTTGTGTGAGTCTGTGTGTGAGTTTGTGTTTCTGTGTATGAGTTTATGGGTCTGTGTCAGTCTAAGGGTCTATGTGTGAGTGTGTATCTCTGTGTGTGTTTCTGTGAGTCTGTGTGTCTGTGTCTCCATGTGAGTCTGTGTCTTTGTGCAAGTCTGTGCAAGTCTGTGTCCCTGTGTGAGGTTGTGCGAGTCTGTGTCTCTGTGTGAGTATATGTTTCTCTGTATGCATCTGTGTGTCTGTGTATGTGTCTCTGTGCAAGTCTGTATGCATCTGTGTCTCTCTTCCCGTGTCTGTCCCTCTCCCCCTTTTATCTCCCCCCTCCCCCCACCTCACCCTCTTCCCTCCCCCCACCCCCCACCGACTCACACGTCCGTCGCTCCTCCCGTGGTCGGCGGGGGTCCCTCTTCCCCCCCTTCCTCGTGCCCCCCCGCGGGGGTCTCCTCCGTGGCGACAACGACACTGGGCAGGGTGGGGGGGGGCTCGGTGGGGGTTGGGGAGGACTCGGCGGAGGTGGGGGTGAGGGGCGCCCCGACCCTGCGGGGTGGCATGCGCTCGTTCACCCGGTCCAGGCCCTTGGCCTCCTCGAAGGAGCTGATCCTCGTGCAGAAGCCACGGCCCCCGCTCCCCGACACGGAGCCAGGGACCCCCCCGGCGTCTGTGGCGGCAGAGGGAGAGAGGGAGGGAGTGGGATGGTGAGTGAGGAGAGGGAGGGTGAGGGTGGGAGAGGGAGGGACGGTGGTGGGGTGGGGGAGACGCAGGCACAGTGAGATGTATGCATCTTTTCTGCCAAGGTTCAGGCTGGGTTCACAATGACCGTGTCGGTGAGGTTGCAGTACCCGTCACGATACGTGCCCAATAATTTTGTACACGCTGCAGCTTGGCAATGCTTTTACCAGACGTCCCACAAAGTAGTGAGTTGCAATAATGGGGCCTTGTCGATATACGATGCTACACACACCACCATCTTGACTACGTGAATAGTGGTCGAATGTGTCATAGAGCCCTGACATGAAAATTGCAGGACCTGACTATATTTTGCACATGGTGATCAAACAACATATTCTGGTCGAGTATGGTGTCCTTTAGATACGAGTAAAAACATGAATCCTGGAGTCTGTGACCACCACACCTGATTCTCCGACAAATGTTTTCGCCTGAGGCTGAATGCCAACCAGCAGCATTAATTTGCATGCACACCACGTGCACCCCTCACGTGAAATCTTCCAGGGTAACTGAGGCTCTCCATATCTAACTTTGACTTCACTGCAGTGTATAATTGTGTATCATCAGCCATATTGATGGAACTTGATATCAAGCGATGAGATGACATTGGCGATGGGAGAGACGTATGTTGAAAATAGGAAGGACCCGAGGATGGACCCCTGCGGAGCGCCAACTAGGCACGGCATAGGCGATGACGGTCCATCACCTAGATTGACGAACTGTGATTGACCATGCAGGTATGACTCAATGCACCCCATGCCATATACAATACACAGAATCTTGACCTCTGCCGTCTGATGACTATCTCATGGTCGATGGTGTCGAAGGCAGTTGAAAGGTCTAGGTCAACCAATGATACGGTGCATCGGTCATCCAGATTCTTGTAGAGATCATCAGTGATCTTTAGCGGAGGCAGCTCAGTGCTGAAAAACTTCTGGTACGCCGACTGCAATAGGTCGTATCTGCCTGCTGTATGTGGAAAGTAACCGCTTCAGGCAAAAGGAGCTCCATGATCTTTGAAATCGTACTCAGGTTTTAGATCGGGCATTATTTTATGGGGTCACTATGGCTGAAGACAACTTTTTTTTCAGGAGCGGTGTTACCTGCGCCATTTTGAACCGTTCTGGGAAAACAGCCCTCGGTGGATGAAATATTTGTCAGGTGAACAATCAGCAGCGCAAGTATGTTCGAGCACAATTTAAGAATCGACGTGTGGATATAATCGAGCGGCGATGTCTTATTTGGCAGCCGTACGATGGACAGAGACACTTCTGCCACCGATGATGGTGCTAGGGTCTCGAGTTTTGCATTGGTTCCAGGTTGAACATACTCAGATGGCAGATCGGTAGAATGCGTTGCCTACAAGTTATAAACCGCCATCTTGATCGTCGCTATTTTATTGGTGAAGAACGTCGCAAGTACTATGCACAGATCTGGGTTGACAATTTTATGGGTGGTAGGAGTGCCACAAAGCACAGGGGGGTCATGAGCAGACTCACTGACAAGGAGAGCATAAAACGATCTGAAATGCACACTGATGCCTATCTGAATGAAGAGTCACACTATCACCCTGCACAGAAATCCTCTCTTATCAAGATGCCCATACATCGGGCTAAGGAAGTGTCAAATGGTGATAGTCTGAGAAGTGAAATGAAATATGTTAAAGAAGTCCTGCAATTGAACGGTTAGAATGATCCACAAATCAACAGGGCACTGAATGCCAAAACCAAATTAAATAGCACGAGCTTTGAAACTGACCAAGTAAGTAAAACTGTTAAAATACCGTGCATTGCGGAAGTAACTAAAAAAATAAGCAGATGTTTGGAATAACAAAACGTCTGAGTCAAATTTGGCACGGTACATAAAATACAGAAATGAATATCTGATACTAGAGATGTATTACCAAAGCTTATCAACAAAAGGTGGCAAATTCTATGTTGGGCTGACATGATGAATGATCAACACGAGACTAAAAGAACAAAAGAATATTAACGACACCCAAACACAACTGTTGGCAGTAGGAGAACACGCGTGCCAACAAGGACACTCAATTGATTTTGATAATGCTGAAGTTCTGTGAAAAATCAGTTACAACTGTCCAAGAATAATTAGACAATCTATCGAAATGGATAGAAATAAAAATGTTAACCGTTCGGATAGCGAGAGACTTATTGCTGCTTGGAAGCGAATCATCAAATATTACATGTTTTAAAATGCATGCCTAGTCAGGTTACATCAATGGGGATAACCTGTGAGCAGAGAATAACAGGTACTAATATTTCACAATGTCCATCCATGTCGGTGGGGTTCACAATGGCCGTGTAGGTGGGATTCACAATGTCCATGTCGGTGGGGTTCACAATGGCCGTGTGAATGGGGTTCACAATGGCCGTGTGAATGGGGTTCACAATGGCCATGTAGGTGGGGTTCACAATGGCCATGTAGGTGGGGTTCACAATGGCCGTGTAAATGGGGTTCACAATGGCCGTGTGAATGGGGGTCACAATGGCCGTGTCAGTGGGGTTCACAATGGCCGTGTCAGTGGGGTTCACAATGGCCGTGTGAATGGGGTTCAAAATGGCCGTGTTGGTGGGGTTCACAATGGCCGTGTCGGTGGGGTTCACAATGGCCGTGTCAGTGGGGTTCACAATGGCCGTGTGAATGGGGGTCACAATGACCTTGTCGGTGGGGTTCACAATGGCCGTGTCGGTGGGGTTCACAATGGCCGTTTCGGTGGGGTTCACAATGGCCGTGTCGGTGGGGTTCACAATGGCCGTGTCGGTGGGGTTCACAATGGCCGTGTGAATGGGGTTCACAATGGCCGTGTTGGTGGGGTTCACAATGGCCGTGTCAGTGGGGTTCACAATGGCCGTGTGAATGGGGTTCAAAATGGCCGTGTTGGTGGGGTTCACAATGGCCGTGTGAATGGGGGTCACAATGACCTTGTCGGTGGGGTTCACAATGGCCGTGTCGGTGGGGTTCACAATGGCCGTGTCGGTGGGGTTCACAATGGCCGTGTCGGTGGGGTTCACAATGGCCGTGTGAATGGGGGTCACAATGGCCGTGTGAATGGGGTTCACAATGGCCGTGTTGGTGGGGTTCACAATGGCCGTGTGAATGGGGTTCACAATGACCGTGTGAATGGGGGTCACAATGGCCATGTGAATAGGGTTCACAATGGCCGTGTCGGTGGGGTTCACAATGGCCGTGTCGGTGGGGTTCAAAATGGCCGTGTCGGTGGGGTTCACAATGGCCGTGTCGGTGGGGTTCACAATGGCCGTGTCGGTTGGGTTCACAATGGCCGTGTCGGTGGGGTTCAAAATGGCCGTGTCGGTGGGGTTCACAATGGCCGTGTCGGTTGGGTTCACAATGGCCGTGTCGGTGGGGTTCACAATGGCCGTGTCGGTGGGGTTCAAAATGGCCGTGTCGGTTGGGTTCACAATGGCCATGTGAATGGGGTTCACAATGGCCGTGTGAATGGGGTTCACAATGGCCGTGTGAATGGGGGTCACAATGGCCGTGTGAATTGGGGTCACAATGGCCGTGTGAATGGGGTTCACAATGGCCGTGTGAATGGAGTTCATAATGGCCGTGTCTGTGGGGTTCACAATGGCCGTGTTGTTACCTTTTCCACCACCAGAAGCTTCCATGGCGGCTGTGGAGACAAAGAGAGATATTAAATGTGTGTCTCAGTGCGTCCCCCGATGTCCCTGTGTCTCCTCGCATCCCCGTATCTCCCCGTGTTCCTTCGCGTGCCCCGTATCTCCCCGTGTCATCTCGTGTGTCCCCGTGTCTACCCGCATGTCTCCGTGTGTCCCCGTGTGTCTCCGTGAGTCCCCGCGTGTCTCCGTGTGTCCTTGCGTGTCCCCGCGTGTCGACACGTGTCCCTGTGTGTCCCTGTATCTCCCCCTTGTCTCCCCGCGTGTCCCACCGTTCTGCAGCATCTCCCTGTCTCCGGACAGGAGGCCGCTGGGCAGCATTCCTGATGGCGCGAGACCCTTGAGAGCCAGAACTGTTTCACTCTCCTCCCTAGAGAGAGAGATACGAGGAGAGAGAGAGGGAGACACATGGGGAGAGAGAGGGAGAGGGACGACAGCTGAGAGTTGGCTGGCACCGTTTGCAGTCCCCTGGTCCACACGGGCGACACAGAAGAGAATTTCTCCGGCTCTCTCCCTCTGTAGAGCTTCACCGTAAACCCCTTAAATCCAAAACTTCGTAACAATTATCTCCTCTTCACCGTTTAGGTGCTGGCCAGACTCCCAGCTCGTGATCGTCGCTATTTTATTGGCGAAGAACTTCGCGAGACTGTGCACAGACCCGTGTTGACGAGTTGATGGGTGGTAGAGAGTGCAGCAGGAAGCATTCAAAACGCGCCACATAGCACGAGAGTCATGAGCCGATTCGCTGATGCGCAGAACAAAGAACAATCTGAGAGACGAGTTAATAATGAGTCGGTTGGCGGATCTGCAGGCCGCTCTTTGTAAGCAAGTAGTTGGACAGTCTCAAAAGCGGCTTTCTTACAAAGACGCTAAAGCCTCCTCCGCGTCTGCTTCGCAGCGATCACCTCCATAGCGTGAGCACACTTCGTCACACACCCGCGCTCTTGTCTCTGCACTGGCTACCAGTCAAGCATCGGGGTGGATGACAAAATCCTACTGCTGCTGACCTACAAGGCTCTCTAATGGGTTAAACCCTACAATTGTACAGGAACTGAACCTGCATTTACCTCTCAAATAAGGTCCCCAAGATCTCCAGATCACCGTCTTCGAAGGACTCTGAGGTCAAGGCTCATTTTCCTGGGGTGATGATGGGGCTTTTGCCAGTGCAGTTTCCAAGCTTAAGAATGCTTTGTTCTTTGTTTAAGTCCCATCTTGAAAATTCACCTCTTCAAACTGGCGCTTACTCCCCACTAATTCTATCCCGTTTATCAGAATCAGAATATTTATTTATATTGGAGATGTCCAGTCGGGGCACAGGGTCAGAATGTTACAACAACAAAAACAACAAAAAAACGCGATAGGACTGCAAAGTATAGGAAAAGCAAGCAAATGAAAAAACCATATAAATAAAACTAAACCACTTTTATTTTATCAGGTAAAGCCCACTGAGCTATTAGATTTTTCTTTAGAAGAGACCTGGCTATCACAAATGATAGCTCAATTAAGTGGCTTATCACGTGGACATTTACAGCAGCCAAATAATATAATAATCGCCACTACTACATACCTCGCTCAACCATCTCTGCCGTTCTGAACTCTGATTTAACATCTTTCTAGGTGGGTTTTTTGTTATTGACCAACACCCTAAGCCTTCGATTGGCCCCTCCTCCTATTGGCACGTTTGGCTACCTGAGGTGCATATGCATGTAAAGCCCCCCGGGCTTCTGACGAGTGGGCCTGGCGCTGGTGCTATGGTCTAGTGGTTTTCTCAGCTCCTGTCGTAGTTATCCACCAACCTAGTAGTCCATTTGCCCTACTGCTGCCCTGACCTCACATCATGGCCGCAGTGTGCGGTGTACGAGGCATTGACCGAGAGGAGCGGCCTCATTTGTTTCCCTCCTGACACCACGCACACTGCTATCGATCCCCACACGACAATGATGAACCACTTTGTTGAGCTATCATTTGTGATTGCCAGGTCACTTCTGCGCGCAGGCAGCGCTTCTCAGGTGTTGTTCAGGAGGTCTCGGGGGTCAGGGCCACATCCACCCCCGGGGCGTCACCATGCTCTGCTAGCACTGTGGAGCGAAGAAAGAGCCTCGCTCACCAGGACACTGGATGCTTAAGGCTTTACCCCCCCCCCCAAAACCCCCGCACCCCCCCCCCTCCATTCCGGCTCCTCAGATTCACTGGGGGGTGGCGCTCCTGCAGCAACACCCATCGTCTTAACGGCTGAGCGACCACCCCATGGCGACCATGGGACAGACCCAGCAGGTGCCATCGGGTTGATCGACTGAGATGACCAGCAAACGCACCACCTGTGAGCAGCATCGCTCTTCCTTCGCCCCCCCCCCCCCCCCCCCCCGGAGGGCGACTGCCTCTAACTGCCCCCCAGTAGCGACCACCACAGCCAGACATTTCACTTTCATCACAATGCCTCGACGTTGTTACACCCCAAGCCCCGGTGAGTGACCCAGAGAGTTTGACAGTGAGAGTCCCAGGGCGTTCGGACCCCTCCGTGGTAAAACTATGGGACAGACCCTCGACCTCCGCTTGAGGACAGGGCCAGGGAAGTGGTGATGTTGTGCCACTTTAACACGTAGGCTTTCGCGACCAATTTAACACGTAGGCTTTCGCGACCAATATTATTCATAATATATGTTGTTGGGTCAGATCGCGTTATTTATAAATGTGTCGTAACCCTCCACCACCCGATAAGGCCAAACGGTAAAAAATGTGTCACGTTTTGCAAAGGACAATAATTCACTTCTTTAGCCCACCGGTGTGTTGAAGAGAGAATCAACAGCATTTTAAAATTTGAGTACAATGTTTCGCTGATAGTTACAATCAGCTTCATCGGGCAAGAATGGTGAAGCTCTCCTGTTGCTCCCGGTCTTAAATAGAGCAGCATCAGGGTGACGTCCAAATTGTGATCGCCGCCACCGCCCCGAGTGAGACGATCGCACCCCCCCCTACTCGCGTACGGAACTCCCCGCCACCCTTCAGAGATCCATTCCCGGTGACATCGCGACCACTCAACTCTGCCTCGCCTTATAGCCGCTGAATGGATCGTTATCGTGAGGAGGGACAGAGGGCCGGAGGAGGAGGCCCAGGGCTGGGGTGCGCGTTGTAACTATTCTAGTTTTATTTTAGCAGGTGTAATGCTTCACTGAGCTATGAAGTCTTCAACTGTAACGTGGTAGTAGTTACGTTCCTGAAGAACGCCGCATTGTGAAAATATCACGATTTAATAAATAATATATAATAAAGAGGGTAAAGCACAGTCTGCGATAACAAGTGAGATGCGTAATTCAGGCTGAACAAAGACTAGGTGCGTGTAGGGTACCATCGAGAAGCATCCAGCAGCATCCCAATGCTTTGTGCGATGATGCTACGCCGAGGCAGCCGTATCACAAATCACTTATTCCTACTCAAGTGACGTAGTTTCGTTCACTCAATTGCGCTATGTCCAATTCGCGTTAGAAAAACACGCAACATTATCGGAGAATGGACTGTGTAGCTCTTTTCCAGAAGCGACCCTGGCTAATACAAATGATAGCTTCGCAACCAAGTGGGTGATATAATCGCGTGGACATTTCTAGCAGCAGCCAAATACTCTCAACGCGTGATGTTAATTCTGAATGTGGAGAAAGAAAAAGGCAGAGGTTACCTGGAGAAAATTCCACATGACCACCATGGGGAGAGAGAGCAAGAGGCATGAAAACTCCAAATATACAGCAGGCGTCGGGGTCCATATCGGACCCACAACAGCTCCTAGCCACTAGAACAATGGCCTCTGCAGAGGCTGAGCACGGTGTAGGGTGGGTGTGAGTTGCCGGTACGCGTGCACGTGCTGCATGTACTGTACACACTGTACATACTGTACACGGTGTGAGTTGCTGGTGATGCAAGTGCTTTGCTGTTGGGGCAGCAATCAATTCGGATTTTAACAAGAATCTCCTCCCTCTCTCACCTCAGCACAGAGAAGATTTTCGCCATCTTGCCGATGGCGCGGATTTTGTTGCGAATGACTTCCTTCCTTGCAGCCGCAGAGGCCCCTAGAGATGCAGGGAGATGCAAAGAGATGCGGGGAGACACGGGGAGAACACGAGGAGACGAACGAAAAAGGGGGAAACACGGAGAGACAGGATACACGGGCAGACACAGGGAGACACGGAGGAGACACGGGGAGACACGAAGAATACACGGGGAAATGCGGGGAGATAAGGGGAGATGGAGGAGACAGTGGGAGACACAAAGAGACACGGAGGAGACTCAGGAAGAAACGAAGAGACACGCGGAGACACGGGGAGACACGGGGAGACACGGATAAGATGGAGGAGACACGCGGAGACACGAAGAGACACCGGAAGACAGGGGGAGACAGGTGGAGACCGAGGAGACACGGAAGAGACACGGGGAGACGGGGCAACGGAAGAGACACGAGGAGACACGGAGAAGATGGAGTAAACACAAAGAGACATAGGGAGACACGGGGAGACAGGGAGACACGGGGAGACAACAGGAGGCACATGGAGGAGACAAAGGAACACGGGGGAGGAGAAAGACAACAACACGGGGGAGGAGAAAGACAAGGAGTGAGCTGGAGTCGTGATCGACGTCTCTGTTATCTCCACTGCACGAGCGTTAGGCACTGCATCTCCACCGCACACACGGGCAAAGCTGCCTCAGGTAACCCACACAGGCTGTTGGGGCAAATGCTGTTAGCGAGCAGCACCTATGAAGGCCGACACGGCACACAAGGGGGTGGGTGGCCAGCACCATGCCCGGCCGCCTTTGTCTCCTCAGTGGCAATGTTTACTACGCACCACAAAAGGTAATCATTTGCGGCTGAGTCGACCTAGGGGAGGCCCAGGACCGGTTCAGATAATCGTCTCTGGTGTAGGTGGACATGAGGGGGGAAACAAACTCGGGTCTCTCACCCATTGACCTGGACCCACCCACACCCGACCACTCAACCACTCACTTACTCACCCAGCCACTCAACTACTCACCCACCAACTCACTCGCGATCTCACTGATCCACCGACTCACCCGCTCACTCACACAACCACTCTCACATTGGTCGCAGAGTTCAGTTCCTGGTTTAGATCTCGAGTCTCAGGGTTAGATTTGTCAGGCAGCACGGCAGAGACAGGCAGGGAAGACAGGCAGGGAAGACACTCAGAGGAGACACTCAGAGGAGAGACAGAGGAGAGACAGAGGAGAGACAGAGGAGAGACAGAGGAGAGACAGAGAAAGAGGCAGAGCAGAGCCACTATCTGTACCTCTCTTTTGGCCATAAACACCCGGATCTGCAAGAGACATTGGTGATCACACGGGCACAGGTAGAACAGGTAGAGCTGTCCCATAGTAGCTCACTCACACCAGGGGGCAAGGGCTGAGAGAGGGGGGGTAGTGCTGCAGCTGCTGCAGACGATGCTGATGATGAGGATCATCATGCCGATTATAATGTAGATGGTTGAGATGATAGTGACGTAGCCGGAGATGATGTTGCTGCTGCTGCTGATGATGGTGACGCTGGTCATAGTGATGCTGCTGATACTGACACTGATCCAGATTCTGTTGAGGCCGATTTCGATGTTAGTGCTGGTAATGATGGTGATGTAGGTACTGGTGATGATGATGCTGCTGATGTTTCTGCTGACAGTGATCCAGATGCTGCTGAGGCTGATTTCGATGTTAGTGCTGGTAATGATGGTGATGTGGGTGCTGGTGATGATGATTCTCACCGTCAATCTCATCTCCGTCTGCCTCCAGTTCATGGTCCGAGCAGATATTCAACACGTTCACCAACATCTCCGTAACTGTGGAGATGCACAACAGCAAAAACAACAAAGCGACATTTTCCACCAAGCGGTGGTGACGTCACCACGTCGCTTGTGCCCAAGAGCCACGTGAAGTGTCGAGGGCTCTTTGCTGGTGGGAGGAGGTCACAGGACAGACCCGGCAGGTGCCAAGAGGCTGGGGGAAGAGAGATGTGGTAACAGCACGGGCAGCCAGGTGTGTTGGGGTCGACTTGAGGGTCCCAGTGATACGCATTGCAGTTTTTCAGTTGGACATCGACACAAGTCGAGTGGGTGACGACTTCTGGTCCATACTGGTGCACAGTACTCGGCTACACAGTACAGAGTTGGTACATCAATAAGTCGAGTGGGTGACGACTTCTGTACTTTTTGTTTTTTTCGGTAAAGTCACGTAGGTAAAAAATTGAAATAAATTAACTCACGACGTTTCGGAAGCAACACAAGCCTCCGTCATCAGGTGTAACTGCTCCAGTAAAATTGCTGTAGCGTATGAAGAGAGCTATTCAGAAACACGTGCTTTTTATAAGGCAGGGAGGAGCCAATGAGGCGGGGGGGGAGAGATAACCATCTTGGTGCTTGTACAATAAATGTACGGTGCCTGTACGATGAATGGCGAATGGGAATGAAACACTGTTGTAAATCAAAATTTATTTAGTGATGGTGGTGTATCAGGCTGGATATGACTGTAAAATTATAAAAATCAATATGGATATGATTATGAGAGTAAATATAAACTGGCTGTTTAGCAGTAAACTGCACGGCAGCTAAAGTTTAAACTTGGTTAATTACATCCTTCCACTGATTGCTCAATTTGAAGCATCATCTCGGTTGAAGTTATGTCTATGTTTGTATATTTGGAAAATTAGAAAAGCTTAAGTTTAGCTTCTGGTCCATACTGGTGCAGAGTGCTCGGCTACAGAGTACAATGCAAGGGCCATCGTTGATGTCCGTGGTAGCACCGAGGGTGCTTTTGGCTCCCCACCAGCTATAAATTACCAGTATTCTGGACCACGTTTGACCACTTGGTTTCTGCCTTGGCGGCTACCTTCCTCAGGTGGTCGTCTCTCCTCCCTGGCTCTTCCCCCCTTCTCTTGCCTATATGGCCTCTTGTTGCAGCAGCCCTTTTGCCCACTTCAGCAATTGTTTCTTGCTGTGGTTGTCCCACCTGATGACAGACGCTTGTGTTGCGCCCGAAACGTCGTGATTTAATTCATATTTATTTTATACCTACGTGACTTTACCGAAAGAACCAAAGAGTATAGATCCCTGCAGTCACGAAAACTTCAAATCTAGATTGGTCGTGGAAGGTTTAGCGGCACAGTCTGGCTTCACTTCAAGATAGGTTGGAGTGTTGCCGCAGGAGGTCACTTTCAAGGAGTATGCCCGGTGCTCCTATTATCAAGATGAGATGCAGTGACTGTTGTGTCTTGTGAGTTTACTCTCTAACACACCGATGTGCAGTACGGCTAATTAATTGGCGTGTTTTGTTTGCAACGACAAACCTTACTGATTGGTTTGTGTTGGGGTGGTGGCGGGTTTAACGACACATTGATAGAGGTAGGAACAACAGTTTCACACTGCCCACCAAGGATTATTTGTCTGTCTGTCGTGCATAACCACGCCCTCGATTTGTATTTCATAGAGCGCTTCGGGCGGGCTCAGCACCACGTGACGCGCCGCCCCACGCAGCTTGCGCCGCGTGACACGGATCGCACGAATGCGCTGTCCAACCAAGTTCCTACCTGCCCACTCCGAAGGAACGTGTTATTTACGTGATCTATCCTAAAAAATACCTCTTATGGATAATATTGGTAGCAAAAGTCTACGTGTTAAACTGAGGTGCCGTGGGGTTGACCGATTTAGATGACTGGCAGATGAACCACCATCTGTGCCACTGTGCCAATTGCGTTATCGGCACTTGGCGCTCCGATTATTGCGATGAGCAGCGTCGCCCCTCCTCCGCCCCCCTCCGCTGTTGTTGTTGCTGCTGGAGGGCGAATGCCTCCAACTGCCCCCCAGTAGCCCTGGGACAGCAGCCAGAGCACAGAGGCTCCGCACTGAAAGCCCTCGGTTTCACGTGATGCACACACGTGTGTGTCTGTGTGTTTGTTGAACTTGTAAAAGAGATTAATTTGTCAATGTTCGATGATGGGGGGAGCGCTAGTGTAGCGTGCTGCGCTACGAACCTGGCTATGACCCGAGTTTGTTTCCCGCTCACGGCCAACACCGGTGATAGCGATTATCTGAACCGGTTATGGGGCTCCGCTGCTAGGTCGACTCAGCCTCAAATGAGTACCCTGGTGCAGTGTGTAAACATCGCCAGTGAGGAGACAAAGGCGGGCCGGATGTTTGTACTGGCCACCCACCCCATTGTGTGCCCTTCCGGCCTTCATCGATGCTGCTCGCTAACAGCGCTTGCCCCCAACATTCTGTTAAGGCTATTCGGGGGATCTTTGCCTTTTTGCGTTGAACTTCTATGGCACTGCACCGTACGTACATACGTACGTGTAGCCAACCGCCGCTAATCGGAGGTGGCGTGTGCGGTGGGGGGGGATAAGGATGACAAACCGAACGCGATGGCGGGAAGCACTTTTCTAAGGAGGTATTTGTCATTGAGGACTATGTAAAAAAAAAGTGCAGTACAGCTCTTCCCCCCCCCCCCCCCAAGTAGCTTACCCCTTGTACGTCGCAAGGAATCGGGTGTTTCAGACGGTCGCAGGAGCAGCGTGTTGTGAGAAGCAGTGCGACGCGGTTAAAATGCCGGACCACGTTTTAACTTCCCATCGTTTAAATCTTGATTTATATTAATAATATTATATTATTTTACATAAATATGATTTTATTATTTCACTTCTACGTGACTTTACCGAAGGAACCAAGAATATGATTCCCACGGTTTGTTTTGGCCCACGCGCGAGTCCGACACGCCCGTCGTCCCGCTTTCTCTTCGCTGGATGCAACAGCAACCGCTCATCCAAGGTCGGATGAGAGTTGCCGGAGCACGTGCACGTACTATATGCACTGCGTGTACTGTGCGCACTGTGTATACTGTATGTACAGTATGTACTGTGCACGGCGTGAGTTGCTGGTGATGCAAGTGCCTTATTGCTGGACAGCAATAAACTCGGATTTTTTAAATGTCTCTCCCTGTGTCTCTCTCTCTCTCTCTCCACGTATAGCTCTCTCCGTATGTCTTTCTCTCGGTGTCTCTTTCTCTCCACGTCTCTCTCCCCGTGTTTCAGTCTCTCTCCCCATGTCTCGTTCTCTCCCCGTATCTCTCTCCCCATGTCTCATTCTGTCTCCCCGTATCACTCTCTCTCCCGATGTCTCTTTCCTCTTGTCTCATTCTCTCTCATCGTGTGTGTGTGTCTCTCTCACCCTTCTCTCCCACGAATGGCAGGGACCACGTGAAAACGTCCATGAAGTTGGGCAGCCAATACGGATGCGGCGAGCAATTGAACTGGCGAATATTCATCACGTTGTTCTCATACTTGAGGATGGCCGCTGGGAGAGAGAGGGTTGAATCAGAGGGGGAGAAAGGGGAGAGAGGGAGAGAGAGAGGGGGAGGAGAGTTGTTAGGATGTAGCGTATTAAAGTAGTGGTAGCCTTGCTGTGGGTAGCAGTATGTGCGAGTGGAGTATTTCTGAGTGACGTTAGGGCATAGTTGGGGTGTAGTATATAAGTGTTTATAGTTAAAGTGTAGTGTATACGAGTGTGATTAAGTTGTAGTTAGGGTGGAGTGTATGAGTACGGCATAGTGAGTGTGTGTGGCCAAGGCGTAGTGAGTGTGTATGTGTAGCCACGGCGTAGTGAGTGTGTGTGTGTAGCTACGTAGTGAGTGTGTGTAGCTACTAGTGAGTGTGTGTGTGTGTAGCCACGGTGTAGTGAGTGTGTGTGTGTGTAGCTACGTAGTGAGTGAGTGTGTGTAACTACGTAGTGAGTGTGTGTAGCTACGTAGTGAGTGTGTATGTGTAGCCACGGCGTAGTGAGTGTGTGTGTGTAGCTACGTAGTGAGTGTGTGTAGCTACTAGTGAGTGCGTGTGTGTGTAGCAACGGCGTAGTGAGTGTGTGTAGCTACGTAGTGAGTGTGTGTGTGTAGCTACGTAGTGAGTGAGTGTGTGTAGCTACTAGTGAGTGTGTGTGTAGCCACGGCGTAGTGAGTGAGTGTGTGTAGCTACTAGTGAGTGTGTGTGTAGCCACGGCGTAGTGAGTGAGTGTGTGTAGCTACGTAGTGAGTGTGTGTGTGTAGCCACGGCGTAGTGAGTGTGTGTATGTAGCCACGGCGTAGTGAGTGAGTGTGTGTAGCTACGTAGTGAGTGAGTGTGTGTAGCTACGTAGTGAGTGTGTGTGTGTAGCCACGGCGTAGTGAGTGAGTGTGTGTAGCTACGTAGTGAGTGAGTGTGTGTAGCTACTAGTGAGTGTGTGTGTGTAGCCACGGCGTAGTGAGTGTGTGTGTGTAGCTATTGTGCAGTGAGTGTAGCGTTACCCTTGTTGTTGTAGACATCGAGGTAGTTGGGAGCGGAGAAGATGGTGATGAGAGATGGAAATCCGGTTGTTTGACTCTTACGGTACATCCGGTACCTGTGAGAGACAGAGACCCTTACAGTTCATTCAGTTCCTGTAAGAAACTCTCACGGTACATTAAATGTGAGAGACTCTTACGGTACATTTGGCACCTATCGGGAACTCTTACGGTACATTCAGAACCTGTGAGAGACAGAGAGACTCTCACGGTACATCAGAATCCGAATATTAATTTATCCTGGAGAAATCCAATGGGCTATGATGCTATTGTTCAAAGATGTCCAAAATGGGGGCAACACGGGGTCAGAATGTTACAACAAATATGATGCTACACAAACACGATAGGAGCAACTGAAAGTGTAGTATAGATTGCATAAGTACACCGATTCCCAGGCTACAGCAAGGCAGCACAAACAGAAGCAAGACCACACAAAGACAGTGGCAAACCGCAGTCCCTCAATAACATTGCACATTAAATTTTAACTATCGATCCATTTGTTAAGGATCAAATTTACAAATCACATTTGTAAAATGTGGCTACAATGAGCGCTGCTTCAGAACATAACCTTTGTCCAGTATCAAAGTATTAAAAATAGGAATAGATTTTATCCTTTCTGGCAATGCAACAGGAGTTGTGTTAAGATGTTTAAACACCAAATAGAAACCTTTTTGCAAGCATCACGTCTGAATTAGCCACAAACTACTTGTGCATTTCCAGTAGAACCTCGAAATTCGGAGGTCGAACGGGCAATGTCGACTTGACAGAACCTGTACGGCTGAGACACGTATGGCCAGCGTGCATGATGCTTGCCCAAAGGTTTAACCTCCTACTTCTCACCACCTTCCACTCAAGCCATCAACTCTCCTTACTACAGGTAAAGTGAAGTTCAATGTTCATTTATTTTATTTATTCCATATATTTATTCATTTATTCCATTTATTTATAGGTTTTTACCCTTTTGTCTGGCACCAAAACTCACACCTTTATACAAGGGATCATGTTTGCAATGACCACAACACAAGCAGTCAAAATGCAAACAAAAAGAGACAACTCTGATAATTATAAGTACTGTCCTTGAAATTGATTGGTCCACACCCGAGACAGCTTTTCTTAGAGCCGAGTCTCCAATGATGTTGGACCAGATGACGCCAAAAGGCGTACAACTCAAAAACAGCGCACTATCAGAGTACTGAGAGCTCGGGGTAAGCATTTACATTATGAGACCTCCTTTGCCAGTAGCCTACCTATTACTATATCTTTCTACTGGCAAAGGTGTATGGTTGTATGCATGTAATTACTGTAAACTTCGTGTAAAATTCTTTAAAATGAGAGATTTCTTGTGTCTGGAACCAATTAATGTCATTTACATTAATTCTTATGGGGAAATTTAATTCGGTGTTCCAACAAATCGGTTTTCAAATGGCCTTCTGGAACGAATTAAGTTCTATCTCCGGGGTACCACTGTAACCACGACCACCACTCCTCGCCTCCGTTTGATGGGAAGACGAGCCCAAAGTTCCATAGGCATGTGTGTCTCGAGAAACAATGCATATATTATCAGAGCCATGTTTGTTTTCATTCATTGCAAAATGTTTCCATTTAGTGTTTGAACATCTTAACACAACTCCTGTTTAATTGACAGGAAGGGTAAAACCTGTTCTTATTTCTAGATTTGAAGCTTTCGTGACTGCAAGGATTCATACTCTTAGTTTTTTCGGTAAAGTCACGTAGGTAAAAAATTGAAATTAAAATCAATAAAAATAAAAAATAAATGTGGATTTATTATTTTATTTTTTATTAATTTTAATTTCAATTTTTTTTCAGTAGCAAGATATAGTAATAGGTTGAAATTAAAATTAATAAAAAATAAAATAATAATTAAAAATGAGCTTTTTATTTATTTTATTTTTATTAATTTAAATCTTTTACCTACGTGACTTTACCGAAAAAACTAAGGGTACCTGTTCTTATTGTTCATGAGATTTACAAAGGTAAGGGAGGAAACGTTGGTTTGTTCTAAAACGTTGCTTGGTGCTGCAATGGTAAAGGGCTTCGTCACCCTCTTCCAATGTCATGTCAAGTTTTTGCAATCAGATGGACGTCTTGGGTTTCTTGGACAGTGGGGTTAATTGAATTAATTTTGTTGTGACGGTTCCACCTGAAGACGGAAGCTTGTGTTGCCTCCGAAACGTCGTGATTTGATTTATTTTCTCTTTTTTTTACCTACGTGACTTTACCGAAAAATCCAACGAGTATTAATTGAATTCACCGAGCACATCGCACAAATTTGCCAAGAACGGATGTTAGGGATGAACGGGGCACCAATGTATAATTATTCTCGCATCAAGTGATGCGAGATTGGACTTCAAGTAGAGGTCACAAAATGGCGGGTCCTGTATGCAACATCCAGTGCAAATCGAAGAGTAGAATGATGAAGCGGGTTTCGTCTGTTTAGTGATTCATCAGTAGCTGATCTATGAGTAGCATCACAGTAGTCAAACAGTGGGAGAATGATAGCTTCAACAATTTGCAGGTGCAATCAAATGGGGAAAAAAACGTCTGTTTCTGGAAATTTGATTTTTGTCGAGATGTCATCAGTATGAGGTTGGAATGTAAGTTTTGAATCAATCAGGTAAAACCAAATACCTCCAATTAGCACGGTTGGCTCTGAACGGTAAAATGTTCAACATGCAACACCCGTCATTCGTGACTAAGATGCGGTGACGTCACCACAGTGCCTGTGTCAGGACAGGTGCCATTTGAGGCCATGGGAAATATCGAAAGGTCGCTGACTGGAGGTCAGGGGACAGACCCATGGGTTGACTGACTGAGATGACTGGCAGATGCACCACCTCTGTCCCCTACTGTGCCAACTTGCTGTATTTTAGCTGCCCGGCGCTCCGCTCGTTGTTACGAGCGTTGCTCCTCTGCCCTCCGTTGTTGTTGGAGGACGACTGCTTCCAACTGCCCAGTAGCGTCCTTCACGAGCCTCCTCCACAGAGGCCGATCTTGACAATTCTGGTACCAGTCATCGGCCAGTCCACTCAGCTCCACATCCTTCCAATCCACATCAGACCATCTCTTCTCCAGCCCATGTCGTGCCTATTTAGCCCCCTCTATGTGGCCAAACAGACACTGCTTGGGCATGCGGTGGCTGGGCATTCGGGCTACATGACCCAGCCAACGCAGCCTTGCATTCCGGAGCATCTCACTGAAGGAAATGTGTCCAGATGTTTCAGGATTTGTGAGCTCCTCACACAAACCAGCCTAGTTAAACCCAGGATGGACCATAGGCTGGCCAGCCTGAATTTTTATAACCAGTGCAGATGTTACATTAGAGGGCTCCACGTTTCACAAGCATAGAGAAGGGAGAGGATGACTGTGGACGAGAAGACCCGAAGCTTTATGTGGAGTGACAGATTAGTCCGTCAACCCATGGCACCTGGGTCTGTCCCGTGACCTCCTCCTGCACTTCATGTGGCCTCAAAGTGCACCTTGCCTGGCACAAGAGCGATTGTGATGTCACCACCACTCAGTGGTAAACGGCGGTTGTTATTGTTAGATGAGTGGGTGAGTGTGTCGGTGACTGAGTGAATGAGGTAAGTGAGTGAATGAGTGGGTGGGTGAGTGGGTGGTTGAATGAGAAGATGAGCGAGTGTGTAAGTTGGTGAGTTGGGGAGTGAGTGGGTGGGTGAGTATTTGTGTTATTCTAGGTGTTAAAATGCATGTTTGTATATCGTAGAGTCATTAGCGCATTGCGCTACAAACCCGTCGACTGAGTTCGATTCCCGTTCATGGCCAATACCAGTGATGATTATCTGACTCCATCTTGGGCCTCCCCTAGATTTCCTCAGCCACAAATGAGTACCTAGTGCCATGTGCAAACATCGCTACTTGGGAGACAAATGCGGCGTGATGTTGATCATTAACCCCGCTTTTGTGCCATTCCGGCCTTCATAGGTGCTGTTACTCGCTAGCAGCACTTGCCCCAACAGTCTGTTAAAGCTACAGGGTGATCTTTATCTTCATAGAAAAATCGGTGTTAGTGCGAGGGGCTGTTAATCCCTCCACCTGTCACTCATTTGTACGAATTAACTATGCTGGAAACACCAAACAAAGCTTGTGCTGGAGGGCCATGGGGAGAATAGGCGTCTGGGGATGCCTTTTGGCAAAAAACCCATTTGTCAGAGCCACACACTACCCCTCCCCTCAGGGTTCTTCCAGAAACAGAAATCCTGAAGTTACGCATGTGGAATGTCCGAACACTCACTGCGGAAGAAAGGCTGCCATTCCTCTGTCAGGAGCTTGACCAGTGCCGCTTGAACCTCTGGTGTATACTGGAGGTTTGGTTCGGGCTCCGGTCGCCATGAGGCACGGACAGTTATCCACTCGAGGGGTAGGACACTGCCAAACAATGGGGAGTGGCACTTCTGAGAAAAAGAATGAAGGGGGGAGACGTGGGAGCGTGGAGACGAGGTGTGGGAAGCTGCGAGTCCCAGGCTATTGTCAGCTCGCTTCCCCATCAATGGGAGGTGAGGAATGGTGGTGGTTGCTCATGCTTCCTCCCAAGTGGGAGGATGCAGGCAAATTCGACGAGTCAGATGCCTTCTTCAACCTCCTGTCCCAGGTGCTGGCTAGAGTAGCTCCTCGTGAGAGTCATCCTGTTGGGTGACTTTAAATGCCCGAGTGGGTCATGATGCAGACACCTGGGACGGAATGAATGGAAGGCATGGGCCAGATCAGCTCAATAATAACGGCAGGAGGCAACTAGACTTATGTGCAGCTCATGGACTTGTAATCCCCAATGTGCCGTTCCGGCATCAGCACTTATCTACACTGAAACCCACAATAGCCTGGTCTCAGCAGCCAGTGGATATCTGTGGAAAAAAGAGCTTGATAGCTCATCGGATTTCTCCAGGATAAAGATAGATTCTGATTCTGAGCCGATGAAGATTGCATGCGAGAAAATGGATCACCGCTTGCGACTGGGGTTGGCATCGTCCATCCCTCCTCGGGATGCCGAGGGGGTAATGGGTGGGGTTTCAGGCCAGCAACTCATTTAGCTGCTATGGCTGCATTGGGTATGCGGTCCAGAAACTCCCCAGAGACCATGGCTGACAGAGAAGGTGTTCCGGCTGGCTGAGAGAAATTGACAGTGCCCACTCCCACCGCCGACAATAAGCCACGTCCAAGAATGAGGAGGCTGACCGCAGCCTTCGCTCCGAGGTTCGGAAAGCTGTGGAGATCCAAAGGTAGTCGCGGGTTGCTGAAAAATTGCAAACTTTCCTTGGTAGCATGCAATCAGCAATGACTCTTTGAATCCATAAAAAAAAGCTACTCGCAGCAGTGAGTAAGTGGGTGGGTGAGTGAGTGGGTATGTGAATGGGTGGGTGAGTGGGCGAATTAGTGGTTTAGTGAGTGGGTAGGTGAGTGCATAGGTAAGTGGGTGGGCGAGTGAGCGAATGGGTAGGTGAGTGAGTGGGTTGGTGTGTGGGTTGGTGAGTGGGTAGGTGAGTGGGTAGGTGAGTGGATGGGAGAGTGGGTGAGTGAGTGGGAGGGTGAGTGGATAGGTGACTGGGCAGGTGAGTGAGTGGGTGGGTGAGTGGGGGGGTGAGCGGGTGGGTGAGTGGGTGAGTGGGTGGGTGAGTGGGTGGGTGAGTGGACGGATGAGTAGGTGAGCGAATGAGTGGGTGAGTGGGTTGGTGAGTGGGCGGATGAGTAGGTGAGTGAGTGGGTGGGTGAGTGGGTGGGTGAGTGAGTGGGTGAGTGGGTGAGTGGGTGGGTGAGTGGGGGGGTAAGCGGGTGGGTGAGTGGGTGGGTGGGTGAATGGGTGGGTAGGTAGGCGAGTGAGTACCCTGCATCTTGCGCTTCATGGGCACGGATCACGCACAGGAGTCCGTTGTTCTGCAGGAACTCACACACGGCCGGGTAGCTGCATAACACACACAAAGACAAAGATCCCCCGTGTAGCCTTAACAGAATGTTGGGGCAAGTGTTGTTATCAAGCACCTATAAAGACCGGAACGGCACATGAGGGGGTGCGTGGCCAGCACCATGCAAGGCCGCCTTTGTCTCCCCCGTGGCGATGTTTTTACACATCACACCAGGTACTCAATTGAGGCTGAGTCGCCCTCGGGGAGGAGGCTCAAGACAGGTTCACATAATCGTCACTGGTGTTGGCCTTGAGCGAGAATTGAGCGCGGGTCGTCATATTTGTAGCTAACTACTACACTATCGCTCCCCACATACATACACACGTAAACGCACACTCACATACAGATACGTATATTCCACAAGTCTCTCTCTGTCCCACTCTCTGCCCCTTGCTGTGTATGCTGGGAAGTGGGCGTGTCTCTGTGGTGCTCCCGTGGTGTCTGTGCATGTGGCCCGGTTTGTCTCAGCAATCCTGAGCTCACCTGACACAGTCACCTCACATTTGGTGGTTGATTGTGAACATCTTCAACTCGTGGGAGATTTTTTCCAAGATGAAAGTATGAAAAATAATGAGCGTTTTACCCTTTCTGGCAACAAAACAGGTGTTAAGCTAGTGAGTCGATGTATGTTGAACTTCTCTCACACCGTACATAGCCAACCGTGCTAATTGGAAGGTGGGTGAGTGGGTCAGTCTCTGTGCTTACCCCCCCCCCCGCCCCCTCCCTCCCATCACCCCCTCACACCTGTAGAAGTAGGAGCACCCACGCACGCTGTTATAGGTGAAATGCTCCTGGGTTTTCTCGCTCCCAAAGTCCTCGAGGGGATCCGACCACAGGAGGTCGCAGACCGGGCCGTAGGCCGGAGGCTCTCGGAACCTGTCCAGCTGAAAGCGGGGGGAGGGGGAGAGAGAGGAAGGGAGAGGGTGGGGAGGGAGAAGTGGGGTTTAACACACAGCTCCTAAACCAGTGGTTCTTAACTTTCAGTGCAGCCTTGCACCCTCTTTGCTTCTCAATAGTTTAGAAAATAAAGTATAATGTTAATAAATACATAGGGTTTCATGAAACAAAGTAGTTGTACTTACGTGCCCTGTGCTTCATTCGAATGATTTACCATCTAAAAAAAAAATGATCCAGCCATGTCTCGTATCCCCAGAAAGGGCATCTCACACCCCCATGGGGTGCGGGCACTCCAGGTTAAGAAGAACCACTGACCTAGGCTAATCACCCCTTTAAACTTCCTTTTTTTTCCTTCTTTCTTTGCATCTTTTTGCGATACTTTCATCCTTCTACGGTGAGTTTTTATTTGATTTGATACACCTTTTTTTGTTTTACGGACATGTCTTTTTGCCGTTCCGTCCCATGTTCTCTTCTGCTCCAATCAGCACCCGTGTCCTGCGTTCTACAAATCCTCAGTTAACTTTAGAGGTGCATGTTTTTCAACGGGTAGACTTAACTTGACTCCTATGTTTGTCGTGGTCAAATCTTGCAATCAAAATTTCGCCCACTTCCCGTTGCCCAATCAATTCCACATTTTTCACACGTACTCAGATCCGGTGACAATGCATGCCTGTATCAAAATCGGCATCAATTAATCAATTAATTCGCTACTTTACAGAAATAACATTTTGTACGGACGCCTTATTATTTATATTTATCTGTGTAGCTCAAAAACGCCGCGGTCCCTAAACTCTGGAATCGCCTCGCCCAAGAAGCAGGCGCCACGTGTCTCAGGCGCGCCTGCTTCGTGTGAACGAATGTTGATGTGGGAGCAGGCGCTGCATCATTGACGCACTTCTCAACCGCGAGTTAAACGAAGCTGTTCATAAAAACGTTGTTTTAAAAAAAGAAACTTTTCTTAAGGAGTTTTTTTGTTTTGTTCCCCACTTCTGTTTGTGTTGAGAAACATTTTTGGGGTTTGCTCCACGTTGCGAGGATCTTCGTTTGCACTGCACCTCACGAGTTTCCGAGAGTTCAGCGCAGCCGGCACTGTCGCAGTGCACCTGCAGCAACAGTGCACCTTCGGCTAGCACAGTTGGCTACGTACCGTGCGAAAGAAGTTCAACATACAGATATACCATACACTACTCTACATGCCATACATTACCTCCCATGAGCATGGCTGGCTACGCACGGTGAGAAAGAAATTCAACATACATACATACTATACACTACACTATGATACAGGGTGCTTACATTTTTTTCCACTTATAAGGGACTATCTTTTTAAATGGAAATAGAATGGATAATACACTTTTCGATTTAAAGCTTTCGTGACTGCAGGGATTCATCTTCTTGGTTCTTTCGGTAAAGTCACGTAGAAGGGAAGTAATAAAATTATAAAAATAAAACATAATAAAATAAAATAATTCTCACGACGTTTCGGCTACAACGCAAACCTGAAGACGGCTGCTTGCGTTGTAGCCGAAACGTCGTGAGAATTATTTTATTTTATTATGTTTTATTTTTATAATTTTATTACTTCCCTTCTACGTGACTTTACCGAAAGAACCAAGAAGATGGATAATACACTGTAACATGATAACAAATTGTATGTTAATACTGGTAGGAACCTCCTGGTTACACCAGCCCACAGAGGATTATTGTGTCCGTCCGTCCGTCCGTCCGTCCGTCGTGCAGGGAGGGGCTGGGTGGTGAGGGTGGGGCTGGGTGTGGAGGGGAGGGTGGGGAGGGGCTGGGTGGAGAGGGTGGGGAGGGGCTGGGTGGGGAGGGTGGGGCTGGGAGGGGCGGGGCGGGGTGGAGAGGGGCTGGTCACCCCGTGGTGCCCTTATAAAACTCAACGTTTAACCTACTTACGCCGGCTTGTGCCCGACCCTCACAGTCGGGCATATTTCCGGAATACACCACGCCGCCATTGACCCTGGCCATTGACTGAGCAACCCAACGTTCCTACCAGCTCCCTCCGCAGGAATGTGTTAGCTTCAAAAACTCAAAGTCTCCACTTGTTTCGCCATCATTGTCAACACTTGTCCGGAGGCACATTTCTTGTGGTACTGCTGCAAATTCTCGGAAGTGTTAACATTTTTTTTTAAGCACCCTGTATACTACACTATACACTCCCTCCGATTAGCATGGTTGGCTATGTACGATGCGAAAGATGTTCAACATACACACTCAACAATCTCCTCTTCGGACCCCTTCTTTATAGGTTTGCGTGCGTACACATAAAGCCTCTCTGTTATTGCAAGCACAGCAGAACCCCTCTTAACAACGGTAATTGGTTCCACAAAACCGGTCGTGAAGTGATTTGGTCTTCGAGTATAGGAAATACACGTTAAAGGCTCAATTTAAATCTTGACTTAAAGCTTTCGTGACTTGGAGGAATTCATATTCTTTGGGTCTTTCGGTAAAGTCACGTGGATAGGTTGAAAGAAAATAACAAAAAATTACGACGTTTCGATCACAACACAAACGACCGCTTGTGTTGTGATGGAAACGTCATAGTTTTTTGTTATTTTCTTTCAACCTATCCACGTGACTTTACCGAAAGACCCAAAGAATAAGGCTCAATTTCTTCCGATAGCATCGAATGGTGCACCTTTTGACCCAAAAAACGTACTTTATAATACAGGTAGTCCTCTACTTACGATGGAGATGCGTTACGACGACCCCATCGTAAGTCAAAAATATCGTAAGTCGAAGATGGCCGAGCCTACCCAGGAGTCTTAAAGAATGGTGATAATTTAGCAAAACAGAGCAATTAACAGTACCGTACTGTATAAACTATATGCTGTATGTATTTATTTAAAAAAATTACACGTGCTAACACCGAGACAACTTAACTCCGTCGACCGCTGGTGAGAGTGAGGCATCACACAAGGCAGGAGATGCGTACATCCCGGCAGCGTCCCAACGTACAGTATCGAACCTCGTACGCTGCTGCGTTTGCCTGCCGCGCAAATTTTAAAATATTTAACAATTTTGTTGTATCGCTATTGCCACCGTAAGATCGAAATATCGTAAGTCGGACCATCGTAACTCGGGGACTATCTGTATTTAAACAATGGATACCAATACATTAAGATACTCATCGAGCGCAAGACCAAAGGCAGAGATGGAGCAGTGGTGGCGAGGGGAGGGAATGACAAAGTGGAAACCCCAATGGGTGGCTCAAGGCAGAGCCCCTAACCACAGAGCCCACGTGAGTTGGCAGCAGTAGGTCCCAATCCATCTCAATGTGCTGCCATGGCGACGGCGGTTCAGTCAGCCACCCCCGGCCACCTTTAAAAAGTTGGATCCCTCTGGAGAGGACATCCGTACACGACTCGTCCTTCCTTAAACTCAGGATCTAGTGGGGATAAGGATTATTCATTTAAAGACCTCCCAAATTTGTAAGCGGACAGTGCAACCCACACCGAGGGGGCAGAAGAGGATAATAATCGTGGCGAAGGTGGGGATTTGTTCTTGAGTCAACATTCTCACACCTCCTCTGGGGTTGCAACATTGTTTGCACCAGGGTTTGGTCACCCAACGTGGTTTGACCAAGCTGAAGTGGTACCGGGAAGTGCCCTCAATGTAAAAAAATAAGACACAAGGATCCATACTCGTTGGTTCTTTTGGTAAAGTCACGTAGATGAAAAATAAAAATAATAAAATAAAAATAACTTAATTTAGTTATTTTCATTTTATTATTATCCTTGCAGTCACGACAACTTCAAATCTAGAAAAAAGACACAAGGACCTCATTCATTCTAGATTTGAAGCTTTTGTGACTGCAAGGATTCATATGCTTCGTTTTTTTTTCGGTAAAGTCACGTAGGTAAAAAATTAAAATTAATAAAAGTAAAATAAAATCACGACGTTTCGGAGGCAACACAAGCTTCCGTCTTCAGGTGGAACCGTCACAGCACGATAGCTGTATCAAGTAAAACTTACCTGATACAGCAATCGTGCTGTGACGATTCCACCTGAAGACGGAAGCTTGTGTTGCCTCTGAAACGTCGTGATTTTTATTTTATTTTTATTTTACTTTTATTAATTTTAATTTACATTTTTTACCTACGTGACCTCATTAATGTCTACGCACCAATCAATGAACATTACAAATGGCGGGTGCTTCACTTTGGGAGGTGATTACAATTACACAATGTATGTTGTTCTCGACCACACTGGAGCTGAACAATGCAACAGCGATATCTTGAATGCTTTGCAGGATCTGCTTCGCGTATACGCTCTGACTGACGTGTGGCAGACAGCAAGGGTTTTACCGTCACGACAGGTCGAGTTGACAGAACAGTGTTGCAATCAAGGATCGACCGATTTTACACTTCAAAATACCTTGGAAATAATGCTGTTGCATCAAGTATCAGGGCTGCACCGCTGGCAGACCATAAACTCATTATGCTTCATGCGAAGATACAAGGAGTCCCATGGGGATCTGCAAACTGGCATTTCCATGATGCCCTTTTGGAAGACGCCATCTTCACTAATCTCTTTGAGAACGGTGTGACTCAAATGCCTGGGGAAGTACGCAATGAACCGACAATGATATTTTTAGATTTAAAGTTTTCGTGACTGCAGGGATTCATATTCTTGGATCTTTCGGTAAAGTCACGTAGAAGTGAAATAATAAAATATTAAAAATAAAACATAATAAAATTCTCACGACGTTTCATTAGGACGCTGTCTTTCCGACAGCTCTGTTTCTTCACCTGAGGGCCGGCTGCTTGTGTTGTGGCCGAAACGTCGTGAGAATTTTAATGTTTTATTTTTAATATTTTATTATTTCCCTTCTTCGTGACTTTACCGAAAGATCCAAGAACATGATATTTTTGATACTGAGAGCACGGTCTGCAGCATAAAGCAAAGGTGGAGGATTGGGGACATCCAGGCCTACCACATGGTGAACAATTAATGTCTAAAAGAATTTCAGAAAGAGAAGGCAAAAAGGGGCATTGATACGCTCACGGTTTAAATACACCCTTGACAAGAACTCTGGCTCAACACTTTTCTTCTCATTAGGGAAGCCAAATGGTTTCCCTATTCGCCACTAGGTGGCGGTGAGGTCACCACGGCGCTTGTGCCAGGCTAAGTGCAGTTCAAGGCCACGTGAAGTGTCGAACGCCCGCTGGCAGGAGGTCACGGGGTAGACCCAGCAGGTTCCATGGGTTGACTGACTGAGATGACTGGCCGATGCACCACTTGTGCCCTCTACTATGCCAACTCACTGTTTTTTAGCCACCCGGCGTTGATTACAATGGGGTCCGTGTCCTCAAACAATGATCAAATAGCCCCAAAAGTTTCTCAATACTATAATAATCTCTTTTCCCCAGAGTGTATATCTACACATACCCAATAGGACATCTGGAACGATTTTCCTCTGTTGGGCGAAAAAGAGGGAATAATTCTTGACGTAGGTAGAAAAGAGTGACCTAAGACATGGCCGTGAGCACTCTGGCCAGAAACAAATCGCCAGGGATTGAAGGACTAACAGGAGAGTTTTATCAGCATTTTTGGTACTCCTTGCGGAAAAGACTACAACGATGTTCTAGAGGAAGCAGTGGAGAGTAACATGATGCCTCAACAGAGGTCGCAACCAGGTACCCGATACCCGTACCCCTACCCGATACCCGGCTACTCGTATCCGGCCGGATACGGGTACAGGTAGCCGTTTGCGACCCTGGTGCGGCCGGGTACAGGTACGGGTAGACCGTGAGTCACTGGTGAGTAACTGTTTGTCACTCATTTCCCAACGTCTTGTCTCTTCTCACAATTCAAGTTCCTAGAATCAACCCACCCGCGCCTGCAACATGGCTTCATCCCAGAGGTCGCAATCAGGTACCCGATACCCGAACCCTACCCGTACCCGGCCGGGTACGGGTAGGGTACGGGTAGAGCCGGGTACGGGTACCCGTTTGCGACCGTGGTGCGGCCGGGTACGGGTACGGGTAAGGAATCAAAACCCGTTTGCGACCTCTGTGCCTTAATCCTGGAGGAGAGCAGTGTTTAGACTGGCGTCCAGGTCTCAAGTGCTGTGCACAGATTATATGATTCTAGCTAAGGCTGTGTCCGCAAGGCTTAAACGGGGGGTTTTTGGCTCAGGTTAAAGGCAATTACCAGTCATGCACTGTTCCAGGGAGGACCACTGATGATGGGATTTTCCTAGTCAGAGATCTAATCACTCGGTCTGAACTTTCCGCTGGCTTTACTCTCCCTTGATCAAGAGAAATACTTTGACAGGGTTGACCATGGGGAATCTACTCGGCACTCTTAAAAGCTTTTGGATTTGGAGCTAACTTAATACAAATAATCGATTTGCTTCATAACACGTCCCAGTGTGTCATCAAAGTTAACATGGCACTAACTGCTCCTATATAACTCAGCCGAGGTATCAGACAAGGCTGTCTGTCCTATGTCATGGCAGCTCTACAACCTCGTCGTGGAACCTATTCTGTATCAACTTCGATGAAGACTCACCTTGCTTAAAACTCTGAAGGAGCCCCGTATAAAATTGACTCTCTCAGCAGACGCTGACGACATTCTCCTCCTCTTACAAGGCTTCGACAATACTGAACGGCTCCACGGGTGCCAAGAGATATATTCTCGTGCGTCCTCCAGGATGAATTGGCAGAAATGCAGTGGGCCCACTCAAGGGACAGTGGGAGAAGCCCAGTTCCCTGCGATAGCCAAAGCAATCGCGGAGAGAAAAGGGATGCCTTCAACATCTTGGCGTGCTCCTGGGGCCTGGAGATAAACGGCTGCAGAGTAACTGGGATACTTTGAAAGAAAGGGTGAGGGAACAACTGGAACCTTGGGGGCGCCTGTGTAAAACCTTCACGTTTGGAGGGAAAACCCTGGTCATGAACCAGCTGGTTGCTTCCGAAATGTGGCACCGCTTTTTTTCCCCTCGTTTCGCCGGCTCATCTGATCGGCAAGCTTCAGAGGAGGTCACCTCATTTCTGTTGGTCACATAGGAGGCACCGTGTGGCCACTGCCGGAGTCTTAGGCTTTGTCACTGCGGGGAAGCGGGCAAAGTCTCGTGTGTGTACGGAGTCAACTGTCCACCTTTCGCTTGCTAGCCGTGCAAAGTTTTCTGTACACAGCCCCATCACTCACGTGGTATCCCACACCATCTTATTTTCTCAGTAACCTGGAGGGGGGCGCAGTGCAGCAATTCTAAATTAATATCATGGGTACCCCCGCTAACGCAGATTTCCAATTTTTACACGAGTGTCCTACAGGCCTGCAGTTTGCCCCCGTCACTACCCGAGTGAATAAACCCCGGTCTGCATCAGACCTCACTCTCGAACAGCTTTTGCGGAATCCAGACACGGGACTAACCCTCTCTTGTGGGCTTAGCCATTGAGAAGCGTTACCTTCGATATGCATCTCACTAGGGTAGGCGATCTGGTGAAACCGGGCAAACATAGTCAGTGGCTTCTCTCTACTCAGATGGCTGCAATGATGGGACTGCATTCAATAAGAATCGCCGAAAAAATTGCGGAAGTCTCGCTCAAAAGCAGTGGGGGGGAGGGGGGGGTGGGGCACGTCCGCCATGAGTGTTGGTGACGTGTCAGCTCCTGGTAGTCCCATGTTACCGGAGCCGACTGTCGAGTCGGCAAGAAAAGTACCCACTTCCTTTTTTCGCAGAGTGTCCGGGAAGAGCACTTCTCAAAAGTAGAACGAAATCAACTGTACGCTCGTGTGTTTTGCTTCCATCATCAACAAGTATGAAGGTCGCGCAAAAGACCACGCTAGGAGAGACTCTATGCCCTGCAGCGATCGTGTAACCCTCACTGGGAGCTGTTCTACCCTAGCCCATCATCTCACCGCCAGGGTGACCTGAGCTGGAGCATTGCCCACGGTACGGTGACCACAAATACTTTTCTGGCACACTTCACAGGACACCAAGCCAGAATGTTTATTCCGTGGTGAAATCGAAACAGTTGCCTATCAGTGTTTACATTGTAAAAGCCTCAACTCGCCTTTTTAAGCTCCTACGTAATATCTTGCTGAAACTGAAACTTAATTTCTCCCCAACGATTCTTATTTTTGGATTTAAGGGGAATGGCAGACAAAGATATAGGAGAGGGCTTGGTGAACTTTGTCAGAAACAATGCCAAACTGGTGATATATAGGGCCAGAAAGTGCACATATTGAATTAAACGGCTTAGCCAGCCACTGTCGCATCTTCAAGGTTCTGGTTTCTGCCAAATTTGACTGGAATTTCGCCACGCTCAGTTGACGGGGGGTGTTCAATCTTTTTTTAGATGTTGGACTGTAGAGGGTGCCCTGTTTAATGTGATTGATGGGAGGAGATCAAGCAATGAGTTTTTGGGAGTGGTTTTTTTTTTTTGTATCTGAACACAGTACACAATGGAACTAATGTTACATGGGAAAAGGCGTAAATATGTTAGATTTTTCACGTAAAAACGTCCATAAAAGCCAAAAAAAGTTCAAAGCAAAAGAAATGACGCGATAAACGAAACAAAGGGCCAACTAACTGAGCATCTTGGTTTCTTCTGATCGTAAAAAAGGGAGGCGAGGGAGGGAGGGAAGGGCGCGTCGGTTTCAGGAACCCACAGCAGTGACCTCGTGAGCGACCTCATGAGCGACCTCGTGAGCGACCTCGTGTGCGACCTCGTGAGCGACCTCTTGAGTGACCTCGTGAGTGACCTCGCGAGCGACCTCGTGAGCGACCTCGTGAGCGACCTCGCGAGCGACCTCGTGTGCGACCTCGTGAGCGACCTCGTGAGCGACCTCGTGTGCGACCTCGTGAGTGACCTCGTGAGCGACCTCGTGAGTGACCTCGTGAGTGACCTCGCGAGCGACCTCGTGAGCGACCTCGTGAGTGACCTCGTGAGTGACCTCGCGAGCGACCTCGTGTGCGACCTCGTGAGTGACCTCGTGTGCGACCTCGTGAGTGACCTCGCGAGCGACCTCGTGTGCGACCTCGTGAGCGACCTCGTGTGGGACCTCGTGAGCGACCTCGTGAGCGGGCCGATGGCCCCGGCGAGAGCTGAACTCACCCTGCGGATCTGGTCGAGGGTGTGGAGCTCCGGGGATAGCCCCCCGTGGACGCAGAGGAACTGCTGATTCATCACCGCCGCCAGCGGGAGGCAGTCAAACGCCTCCATGCAGGCATCATACACGCGGTCAGAATACTTGATACGGCCTGTGGAGCGCCACGTGCAGCAATCGCGCACACAGAGACACAGACAGGCATCGCACACAAGCAGAGACTCTCTCCGTGTCTCCCACCCCCCGTGTCTCCTCCCTGTCTCTCCCCCCCTCCCCACCCCGTGTTTCTCCCCTGTGTCTACTCTCCATGTCTCCCCCCCGTGTCTCCCCCCTGTGTCTCCTCTACATGTCTCCCCCCCCGTGTCTCCCCCCTGTCTCTCCACCCTGTGTCTCCCCCCCGTATCTCCCCCCCGTCTCTCCACCCCATGTCTCCCCACCGTGTCTCCCCACCACACATCTCCCCCCCCCCCCCCCCCCCCGTGTCTCCACCCCATGTCTCCCCACCGTGTCTCCCCACCACACATCTCCCCCCCCCGTGTCTCCTCCCCGTGTCTACCCCCCGTGTCTCCTCCTCGTGTCTCTTCCCCGTGTCTCCTCCCCGTGTCTCCACCCCCGTGTCTCCCCCCTGTCTCTCCACCCCGTGTCTCCCCGCCGTGTCTCCCCCCGTCTCTCCACCCCGTGTCTCCTCCCCGTGTCTACCCCCCGTGTCTCCTCCCCGTGTCTCCTCACACTCCTGCTTGAAGGTGAAGTACTCTGTGAGGTGGCGACACTCGTGGTTCCCGCGGAGCAGAAAGAGGCTTCCAGGGTAGAGAATCTTCAGCGCCCAGAGATACAGCACGCACTGCGCTCGCCAGAGATATACACACACAGCGATATACACATGGAGATATACAGAGAAATACACAGATATGCACTGCGACAGAGAGATACACACGGAGATACACAGGTCTGGCACACAATGCGCTCCCACATAGGTACACACGGAGGCATACAGAAAGACACGCAGAGATATACACAGAAATATACAGGCAGACCTTTCCGAATTATGGGGGTGGGGTTACCTTCCTGGAAAATGCCGTGTTGGGCAAAACCGCATCCGACAAATAAGAGGACCATTGGGGAGACTGGAGTTGCGTTCCTGGGTCCAAAATGATTGACCCCTCCCTCTTGGTAAAACTCATTCTGCAAGATATTTGCCCTTTGCTGCTGTACTAAGGGATGCCGAGTTGCTATCTGTTACGTGTGTGAGTGAGAGTGTGTACAGTACACTTCAGGGAGCGGTGGTGTAGTGGTTAGCGCTACACTGCGCTGTAAACCCGGAGCCTCGAGTTCGATTCCGCTCACAGCCAACACCGGCGACGATTATCTGAACCGGTTCTGGGCCTCCCCGTGGTGCTGGCCACCCACCCACCCCCTCATGTGCCGTGCCGGCCTCCTTAACTGCTCGCTAACAGCACTTGCCTCAACAGCCTGTTAAGATGGGGGATCTTTGTTTGTTTCTATAGTCCACTGTTCATCCCTCAATTTCACCTCAACGTAAATCCCCCGTCTCGATGACTCTTCCCGCACATCGGCACTCGTGCCCAACGCTCGCCCTCGAAACTGTCGCTTGAACGTTAACGATGCGCCATCTCGTCGTGGGCGAGTGAGTAGATTGAGTGTGAATGGGTGAGTGAGTGGGTGAGTGAGTGGTTGATGAGTAAGTGGGTGGGTCAGTGAGTGAGTCGTTGAGTCAGTGGATGGGTGGATCGGTGGGTGAGTGTATGGGTGAGTGTGTGGATGGCTGGGTGAGTGGGTCAGTGAGGAGTTGAGTGAGTGGATGGGTGAGTGAGTGGGTGGGTGGGTGAGTAGGTGGGTGAGTAGTTGAGTGGGTCAGTGAGTAAGTGAGCGGGTAAGTGAATAGTTGAATGAGTGAGTGAGTAAGTGGGTGGATCAGTGAGTTGGTGAGTGTGAGTGGATGGGTGAGTGGGCGGGTAAGTGGTGAGGGGTCGCTCACCTCGATGCTAAAGTATCCACGGTCCACGTAGTCTCCCAGGAACAGGTATCGCGTCTGAGCCGGGGAGCCTCCCACCTCAAACAACTTCATTAAGTCATAGAACTGCCCATGGACATCTCCACACACTGGGAAAGGAGGGGGGAGGAAGGAGGAGAGAGTGAACTGGTGGGAACCACGGTGGCAGGGAGATGTTAACTACCTCGCCTGGTATAAGGAGGTTATGGGTTCGATGCCTGCTGCTCTATATTTGGAGTCTGCGTGTCTCTCTCTCTCCCCGTGGTCATGTGGATTTTTCCCCGGGCCCTCCGGTTTTTCCCTTCACATTTAGAATCGACATCACAGCGTTTAGAGGAGTATTTGACTGCTCCTTTAAATTCTACGCAGCGATGGTATCAGCCACTTGGTGGAGCTATCATTTGTGATAAGTCAGGTTGCTTCTGAAAAAGAGCTACACAGCTCAGTGGGGCCTTACCTGGTAAAATAAAAACTGTTTAGTTTTTTTGTTTAGTTTAGCGAGTCACATGGACCCCTGGTTACCTAGGTAACAAGCGCTTTACCTAGCCAACCAGGGGACCAGTTTCCCAGGTGACCGATTGCCTAAGTCAGGGGTGGGGAACGTCCGGCCCGCGGGCCGTATAAGGCCCGAGAAATCATTTGGTCTCTGGCCCTGCCAAGGCAACCGCAGGCAGGAACTCGAAATTCAATAAATCTAGGAGCAAACTTGGAAAAGCAGTTGCGAGTAGCAACATCATCAATACCAGCTAACATCACACGCCTCGCCAAAGAGAAGAAGTTCCAGCCCATCGCATTAGCGGTGAGTAAATTACATGTTTGACAAAATATAACAGGCTAATTTTAAGTTGATCATTTTGCATGGCCCGCGAATGATGTTATAAAGATCCAAATGGCCCTTGGCAGAAAAAAGGTTCCCCACCCCTGGCCTAAATAATCAGCTAACTCGTCACCACAGCCAAAAAGCGAGCGGTAGCCCCCAGTCGAGCGATTATAAATGTAACTTGGCGAGTAGAGCGGTTGTTAGCGGTAACTTGATGAGTAAACGGCAGTGAAGTTACCGGTAAGCGTCTGCTAGCGGTAACCGGGCAAGTGAGCAGTTGCTAATGAGCGAGAGGTGAGGGTACCGGTGAGCGGATACTAACGGTGACCGGTTGCAAGCGAGCGTCTGCTAGCGGTAGCCGGGCTACCGAGCGGTTTGTAGTAAGGGTTATCGGTGAGAGGTTGCGAGCGGTAAGCGGTTGCTAGCAGTAACAAAGTGGTTGGCGGTGAGCGGTTGCTAGTGAGTGAGAGGTGAGGGGTTACCGGTGAGTGATTGCTAGTGAGTGAGAGGTGAGGGGTTACCGGTGAGTGATTGCTAGTGAGTGAGAGGTGAGGGGTTACCGGTGAGTGATTGCTAGTGAGAGGTGAGGGGTTACCAGTGAGTGATTGCTAGTGAGTAAGAGGTGAGGGGTTACCGGTGAGCGATTGCTAGTGAGTGAGAGGTGAGGGGTTACCAGTGAGTGATTGCTAGTGAGTAAGAGGTGAGGGGTTACCGGTGAGTGATTGCTAGTGAGTGAGAGGTGAGGGGTTACCAGTGAGTGATTGCTAGTGAGTAAGAGGTGAGGGGTTACCGGTGAGCGATTGCTAGTGAGTGAGAGGTGAGGGGTTACCAGTGAGTGATTGCTAGTGAGTGAGAGGTGAGGGGTTACCGGTGAGTGAGAGGTGAGGAGTTACCAGTGAGTGGTTGCTAGTGAGTGAGAGGTGAGGGGTTACCAGTGAGTGATTGCTAGTGAGTGAGAGGTGAGGGGTTACCGGTGAGTGAGAGGTGAGGGGTTACCAGTGAGTGGTTGCTAGTGAGTGAGAGGTGAGGGGTTACCGGTGAGCGATTGCTAGCGAGCGAGAGGTGAGGGGTTACCGGTGAGTGGTTGCTAGTGAGCGAGAGGTGAGGGGTTACCAGTGAGCGATTGCTAGTGAGTGAGAGGTGAGGGGTTACCGGTGAGAGGTGAGGGGTTACCGGTGAGGGGTTGCTAGTGAGCGAGAGGTGAGGGGTTACCGGTGAGTGAGAGGTGAGGGGTTACCGGTGAGCGATTGCTAGTGAGAGGTGAGGGGTTACCAGTGAGTGGTTGCTAGTGAGTGAGAGGTGAGGGGTTACCGGTGAGTGATTGCTAGTGAGTGAGAGGTGAGGGGTTACCAGTGAGTGGTTGCTAGTGAGCGAGAGGTGAGGGGTTACCGGTGAGTGGTTGCTAGTGAGCGAGAGGTGAGGTGTTACCGGTGAGTGGTTGCTAGTGAGTGAGAGGTGAGGGGTTACCGGTGAGCGATTGCTAGTGAGTGAGAGGTGAGGGGTTACCGGTGAGTGGTTGCTAGTGAGTGAGAGGTGAGGTGTTACCGGTGAGTGGTTGCTAGTGAGTGAGAGGTGAGGGGTTACCGGTGAGAGGTGAGGGGTTACCGGTGAGTGGTTGCTAGTGAGCGAGAGGTGAGGGGTTACCAGTGAGCGATTGCTAGTGAGTGAGAGGTGAGGGGTTACCGGTGAGAGGTGAGGGGTTACCGGTGAGGGGTTGCTAGTGAGCGAGAGGTGAGGGGTTACCGGTGAGTGAGAGGTGAGGGGTTACCAGTGAGTGGTTGCTAGTGAGTGAGAGGTGAGGGGTTACCGGTGAGTGATTGCTAGTGAGTGAGAGGTGAGGGGTTACCAGTGAGTGGTTGCTAGTGAGCGAGAGGTGAGGGGTTACCGGTGAGTGGTTGCTAGTGAGCGAGAGGTGAGGTGTTACCGGTGAGTGGTTGCTAGTGAGTGAGAGGTGAGGGGTTACCGGTGAGCGATTGCTAGTGAGTGAGAGGTGAGGGGTTACCGGTGAGTGGTTGCTAGTGAGTGAGAGGTGAGGTGTTACCGGTGAGTGGTTGCTAGTGAGTGAGAGGTGAGGGGTTACCGGTGAGAGGTGAGGGGTTACCAGTGAGTGGTTGCTAGTGAGCGAGAGGTGAGGGGTTACCGGTGAGTGGTTGCTAGTGAGTGAGAGGTGAGGGGTTACCAGTGAGCGATTGCTAGTGAGTGAGAGGTGAGGGGTTACCGGTGAGAGGTGAGGGGTTACCGGTGAGTGGTTGCTAGTGAGTGAGAGGTGAGGGGTTACCAGTGAGCGATTGCTAGTGAGTGAGAGGTGAGGGGTTACCGGTGAGAGGTGAGGGGTTACCGGTGAGTGATTGCTAGTGAGCGAGAGGTGAGGGGTTACCAGTGAGCGAGAGGTGAGGGGTTACCGGTGAGAGGTGAGGGGTTACCGGTGAGTGATTGCTAGTGAGCGAGAGGTGAGGGGTTACCGGTGAGTGGTTGCTAGTGAGTGAGAGGTGAGGGGTTACCAGTGAGCGATTGCTAGTGAGAGGTGAGGGGTTACCGGTGAGAGGTGAGGGGTTACCGGTGAGTGGTTGCTAGTGAGTGAGAGGTGAGGGGTTACCGGTGAGAGGTGAGGGGTTACCGGTGAGTGATTGCTAGTGAGTGAGAGGTGAGGGGTTACCGGTGAGCGATTGCTAGTGAGAGGTGAGGGGTTACCGGTGAGAGGTGAGGGGTTACCGGTGAGTGATTGCTAGTGAGTGAGAGGTGAGGGTTACCAGTGAGCGGGGCGGCGATGTCAAGCACCGTGGGCTCCGCGCGGAGCACCTCTGCCCCGCGCTTGAGGATGAGGATGGCCGCCTCCTCCTCGACGCGGCCCTCGCGCAGGAGGTGCGAGCGCAGCACCTCCAGGCGCGGAGCCGAGGTCGCCTCATCAAAGAGCTCCCGCGCGGAGAGGCAGCGCGAAGGGGGGAACGGCACCGCTGCACCGGTGGAGGGCGTGGGAGGGTACGGAGAGGAGGGGGGCATGGGGGAGGGCACGGGGAGGAAGGGGTATGGGGGGGGGAAGAGAGGGACGTGGAGGGGAGAGAGAGAAACGGCGACAGAAAAAGGGAGGACACGGGGAGAGAGAGGCACGTGGGGAGTCAGAGGGACATGTGGAGAGAGAGGGGCAGAGAGGGAGGACGCGGGGAGAGAGAGGCACATGGGGAGTCAGAGGAACATGGGGAGAGGCAGAGACGAAGACACGGGGGGGAGGAGAGAGAGAGACACGGGGAGAGATTTATTTTATTAATGTTTTTTTCACGGTAAGCGCGAGAGCCCGACACAACACGTCAATGGTTTCAGGGGAAGGGGCGAGACAGAAAAACCGTGGGGGACGAGGTGGGGGGGGACTTACTGGCACTTGCCCGCGTCTAGGTGTGGGGAAGGAATGCTCGATGCCCATCCCAAGAGGGTGAGTGGGAGTTTTTATATAAGGGGGGGAGGGGTGGGGGTTGGTGAAGGAGGGGCGAGGAAGAAGCATGCAGCAGCCAAGAAAGGACACGCTACAAATCACATAAAAATACACGCGGCTTTGTCTGTTGATGTGGCAATCCCTCCTCTATCCTGGGTCCATCTTATCTTAACCAGGTACGGGGGGGGAAGGAGGGGGCGAGGAGGAAATCAGCAGCATTCTAAGGGGAGATCGGGTGTGGGGAAGGTGGGGTGGAGAAAAGACACTCTACGAATCATACAACATACATGCGCGGCAGCTTCGTGTGTTGGGGCTGACAACCACTTCCTCCTATTCTCATCTCACCTTGCCTGAACGTAATTCATACAGCGCCTCAACAAAGGCACCGCTCGGAGGACGCTACAACGCGCGCGTGTGAATGTAATAGCAGAGCGTGCTGCGCTACGAACCAAGCGACCTGAGTTCGATTCCCGCTCAGAGGCCAACACGAATAACGGTTATCTGAGCCGGACATGGGCCTCCCCTAGGTCGACTCGGCCTCAAATGAGTACCTGGTGTGGTGTGTTAACATCGCCAGTGGGGAGACAAAGGCGGCTGGGCAGGGTGCTGGCCACCCAGCCCCTTGTGTGACGTGCCGGCCTTCATAGGTGCTCGCTAACAGCACTTGCCCCAACAGTCTGAATCTTTGTCTTTGTAGATGCGGTGTATAGAATAGATGAGAGGAAGCAATAGGTGGTGAATCTGTGATGAAGCGTGAACTTGGTGAAAGCGGAACTGACGATGGTAAATGATGATGATGAACGGATATAATGAATGGGGTTAATGAGCGATAGCCGTGTAATGAGAATGTGAAGAGGGAAACATTAACCGTGATCGTGGTGCTTATGATGGGTGTGGTGGTCGTGGGGTGAGCTTGGGAACAATAAGTGAACTTTAAGTGAAGAGCAGAAACTTAGCGAGCGAACTTGACTGCTTAATGTGGAGGTGAGGTTTGTTCCAGTGACGAAGATAAGATGGGCCCCATCTCATCCTAACTGATGAAAGGAGAACGGGTGAGAGGAGAGGGGGGGGCATCCTTCTATCCCTCCCCCTGCCTCCCTCCACCTTTCCTCTCACGTTTTAAACTGAGTTGGTGTCGGTGATTGGGGGTGGAGGAGGAGGCGGAGAACGAGGAGGAGACCACCTGACCTCCAATTCCCCCTTTTCTTCCCCTTTTAAGGTTATGGGTGCTGGTGGCGTGAACTATGGCAGCGTGTCACGCCATTTCCCCGTAAAGAGGAGTGGGGGGAGGCAGTTCGAGGTCTTTCCAGCGAGCCAAGATGGTTTATTTTTCTGGCTATGATGTTGAAAGCTTGGAGCAGGGCATGTGCTGGGTGTTTTTGAAAGGGTACCCCGCCTTTTTGTACATCCCCACTGTGAAGTTTCAATTGACGGAGAGAGGTCGGTGCCGCTTCGCGTCGTTGAAGAAGGCCGATATATTCTGGTTATTAATTTGCGATGTCCGGGCATGACCAACATGCATTTAAGTCGGTTTGTATTGAGCCTTGGATGGTCAGGAGGGGTTGTGAGAGTGAGTTAGTTAATTGTATGTATGTATGTATGTCTAATGAACTTCTTTTGCACCGTACATATCCAACCGTGCTAATCTGTGGTTCTCTGTGGGTCTCTATAGGTCTTGGGTGTCTGTGGGTGTCTGTGTATGTATCTACTTATGTTGAACTTCTTCCGCACTGTACGTAGCCAACCATGTTAATTAAGTTGAGCCAACTTGGCAAGAATTGGGCAAAACCTCGCCCACTTTTTTTTTTACCCAGGAAACTGGAGAGCAGCACAGATGAAGTATGAGTACTAACCTAACATTCAAACATATTCAAGAATTACGGTTAAGAGACAAACAACATTATATAGTACTGTTAAAAGACTTAAAAACACACCGTTTTTTTTACTTAAACTCATCGATGGTTTTGCACCTATCCGGGACAATGTTGTTCCAAGTGCCCAACCCGGCTGCTATTATTTTTTTATACAAATGTAATTTTAAATAAAACTGTGAGCACCACCAACTGAACGCTGCGAGGAAAACGTTGTCAAATTAAAAACAGCACAAGACTTGAATGCCATCGGTCTGGCTGAGGAGTGCGGAAAGTCAATTTTCCCTTCGGAAGATACAAATGTGTTTTTTATTAAATACAATCTCGCATGAAAATGGGAGTAACAGAGTTTCCTTTTCTCTTCCCTCTGCGAGGAAGATTTCATTTTAGCGAGCCCATTAAATGTGCTTCGTGGAGTGAGGCACCTGGCACACACAAAGTGCTCACCACAAATGAACCACAATTACCTCGCTGATCTCATCCAGGAGCGATCGTCACGCGAACTCCGGGTCATACTCGCAGCGGCAGCAACAGCGGTGGCTTTTGGCAAGCCATCGAAAAAATACGATCACCACATCGGGCGCTTTCAGATGCGCTTCTGCGGCCGTCTGGAACGCTCCTGCTTCCGATATTAGCAAGCCACTGGAGCTGATGCAATTTTAAACCATCATCTAAATTCACAGACTAATTTCTTTAAAACTGCTTTTTGTGTTTAGTTTGTTGTCCTTCCTCCGCACCTCCGATTAGTACGGTTGGGTATGTACGGTGCGAAAGAAGTGCAACACTCACACTATATTCTACACTATACAGTGAAACTTTGGATTGCGAGTTACTTGGTCTGCGAGTGTTTTGCAAGACGAGCAAAATTTGAAAATAAATATTAATTTGATAAATGAGCGAGGTCTTGCATTACGAGTCCTGTAGTACGTACAGTATACGCTTTGTCTGCCGAGCGTCAAGTGATCACAACTGAGCCGATGGTTCTTCTCTCTCTCTCGCTGCGGGATTGTAGCTAATCGTCTTCCATGCTCGGTCTCAGTCGGCGTGCCTCATTCGTATAGTCAACATCCGTGCGAGCTACGGTGTTTACTATAGTGTTGTGACCACGTGTGTGTGCGTAAAGCATTTTTTTTATCTTGTGTCCGAGTGTAGTGACTGTTCTTTAGTAACTGTACTGCAAGTGAAAGTCATCCTACACAATAACCCTCCTCTCCTCTCTCTCGTCTCCCTCATACCAGCCACGATTAAATTTAATTAATACATTTGATTACTTTATATTAAATTTAAATAAGAAAAATAAAAAAAAGGTATTTTGTATCAATCATTTTTATATGAATACAATATTTTTGGGTTGTGGAACGAATCATCTGAGTTTCCATTATTTCTTATGGGGAAATTCGCTTTGATATACGAGTGCTTTGGATTACAAACACGTTTCCGGAACGAATTATGCTCGCAATCCAAGGTTTTACTGTACACTACCTCCAACGAGCACGGTTGGCTACATACGGTGTGAAAGAACTGGAACATACGTACATACTTCTGAGATAAAAAGAAGGTAAGAATAAAGAGTGATGCCGCGACTCTAAGACTCTGTCGCCTCGACGGACCTGGTTTTCACCTGAGGACGGCTGCTTGCGTTGTGGCCGAAACGTCGTGAGAATTGTTTTATTATGTTTTATTTTTATTATTTTATTACTTCCCTTCTACGTGACTTTACCGAAAGAACCAAGAAGAGGAAAATAAAGAGTGACATCGAGACTATTCAAGTTTTTTTTATTTTACCGGGTAAGGCTCACTGAGCTTTTTGGCGTCATCTGGTCCAACACCATGTGAGATTAGGCTCTAAGGAAAGCTGTCTCGGGTGTGGACCAATCAATTTCAATGACAGTGCATACATTATCAGAGTTGTGTTTTTTGTTTGCATTCCGACTGCAGGTATTGTGGTCAATGCAAACATGACTCCTTGTAAAAAAAGGTGTCAGATTTGTTGCCAGATAAAAGGGTACAATTTTTTTTATCATATTTTGCTACTGGCAAATGATAGCTCAACGAAGTGGGCTGATCCCCACCACGTGGAGATTTATAGCAGAAGCCAAATACTCTAAACACGTTATTCTAAATGTCGAGGGCAAAACCAGAGGACCCGTAAAAGCGACCACGGGGAGAAATATAGACGTGCTAACTCCAAATATACAATCTTGATTTGGAGCTTTCGTGGCTGCAGGAATCCATACTCTTTGGTTCTTTCGGTAAAGTCACGTAGGTAGAAAATAAAATAAATCACGACGTTTCGGGCGCAACGCAAGCGTCCGTCATCAGGTGGGAAAGCATGGTCTGCTGCTGAGGCAGACCGTATTAAAAAGGTTTGAAATGGGTGTAGCCCAAGGGTCAAAAAGAAGTGGCCGGGGCTAGTGATGTTAATGTGAGAAATTATCATGTAACTGTAAGATATACAGCAGGTGTCACGATTGGGACTGCACCCACTAACTCCTGTATACCAGGCGAGGTAGTTAACATATTCTAGCCACTGCGGCGCGCTTAGACTGGGAGTGTCACTGCCTTGAAAAAAGTATCCCTCGCTGCAGGACTTACGGATATAACTCGCCTGTTCTAAAAGCCAAGATTCTGTCTTAAATTTCACTGACTACCCATCGAATGTGAAGCCATTCTTAAGTTTGACGGACGCTTCAATATTACGCTAACCGCATGACCCCTGGCGCACACGGCACGGTCTGCGTTGAACTTATTTCACACCCTGCGGAGCCGACGGCGCTAATCGGAGCACCGGCACACAGCAGCACACAGACACGCACATCACACAAAGATAAAGACAAAGATCCCCCGTGTAGCCTCAACAGACTGTTGGGGCAAGTGCGGTTAGCGAGCAGCATTAATTAAGGCCGGCATGGCACGGGGGGGTGGGGGTGGCCAGCACCACGCCCGGCCACCTTTGTCTCATTCTAGGCTGAGTCTATCTAGGGGAGGCCCAGGACCGGTTCAGATCATCATCATCATTACTGCTGTTGGCTGTGAGCTGGAATCGAACTCGGATTGCTGGGTTTGTAGTGCAGCGCGCTAACCGCTACACTACACAGCACACTGACACACACAACACACCGACACACACACAGCACACGGACACACAGCAGGACACTGACACACGGCACGCTGACACAGCACGCTGACATACACATTGACACACACACTGACACACACACTGACACACACTGACACACACATTGACACACACACTGACACACACACTGACACACAGACAGACACATTGACAAAGATCCCCCGTATAGCCTGAACAGACTGTAGGGGCAAGTGCTGTTGGCGAGCACCTATGAAGGCCGGAACGGTACACGAGGGGGTGGGTGGCCAGCACCACGCCCGACCGCCTTTGTCTCCCCAGTGGCGATGTTTACACACCGCACCAGGTACTCATTTAAGGCTGAGTCGACCTAGGGGAGGCCCAGGACCGGTTCAGATAATCGTCACTGGTGTTAGCCGTGAGCGGGAATCGAACCCGGGTCGCCAGGTTCATAGCGCAGCGCGCTAACCGCTACACTACCGCTCTGACATACACACTGACACACACACTGACATACACACTGACACACACATTGACACACACACTGACATACACAATGACACACACAGCAGCACAATGACACACACAGCAGCACATTGACACACACAACAGCGCATTGACACACACAGCAGCGCATTGACACACACAGCAGCGCATTGACACACACAGCAGCACATTGACACACACAGCAGCACATTGACACACACAGCAGCACATTGACACACACGACAGCACACTGACACACACAGCAGCACATTGACACACACAGCAGCACATTGACACACACGGCAGCACATTGACACACACAGCAGCACGCTGACACACACAGCAGCACATTGACACACACAGCAGCACACTGACACACACAGCAGCACATTGATACACACAGCAGCACAATGACACACACGGCAGCACATTGACACACACGGCAGCACATTGACACACACGGCAGCGCATTGACACACACAGCAGCGCATTGACACACACAGCAGCGCATTGACACACACAGCAGCACACTGACACACACAGCAGCACAATGACACACACAGCAGCACATTGACACACACAGCAGCACATTGACACACACAGCAGCACATTGACACACACAGCAGCACATTGACACACACAGCAGCACGTTGACACACACGGCACGCTGACACACACGGCAGCGCATTGACACACACAGCAGCACATTGACACACACAGCAGCACATTGACACACACATCAGCACATTGACACACACATCAGCACATTGACACACACAGCAGCACATTGACACACACAGCAGCACATTGACACACACAGCAGCACATTGACACACACAGCAGCACATTGACACACACAGCAGCACATTGACACACACAGCAGCGCATTGACACACACAGCAGCGCATTGACACACACAGCAGGACATTGACACACACAGCAGCACACTGACACACACACAGCAGCACATTGACACACACAGCAGCACATTGACACACACAGCAGCACATTGACACACACAGCAGCACATTGACACACACAGCAGCACATTGACACACACGGCAGCACATTGACACACACGGCAGCACACTGACACACACAGCAGCACATTGACACACACAGCAGCACACTGACACACACAGCAGCACATTGACACACACGGCAGCACATTGACACACACGGCAGCACGCTGACACACACGGCAGCACATTGACACACACAGCAGCACACTGACACACACAGCAGCACATTGACACACACAGCAGCACAATGACACACACAGCAGCACATTGACACACACAGCAGCACATTGACACACACAGCAGCACACTGACACACACACAGCAGCACATTGACACACACACAGCAGCACATTGACACACACAGCAGCACATTGACACACACAGCAGCACATTGACACACACGGCAGCACAATGACACACACGGCAGCACATTGACACACACGGCAGCACATTTACACACACGGCAGCGCATTGACACACACGGCAGCGCATTGACACACACGGCAGCGCATTGACACACACGGCAGCGCATTGACACACACAGCAGCACAATGACACACACAGCAGCACATTGACACACACAGCAGCACATTGACACACACAGCAGCACATTGACACACACAGCAGCACGTTGACACACACGGCACGCTGACACACACAGCAGCGCATTGATACACACAGCAGCACATTGACACACACAGCAGCACATTGACACACACAGCAGCACATTGACACACACAGCAGCACATTGACACACACAGCAGCACATTGACACACACAGCAGGATACACACAGCAGCACATTGACACACACAGCAGCCCATTGACACACACAGCAGCACGCTGACACACACAGCAGCACATTGACACACACAGCAGCACATTGACACACACAGCAGGATACACACAGCAGCGCATTGACACACACAGCAGCCCATTGACACACACAGCAGCACGCTGACACACACAGCAGCACGCTGACACACACAGCAGCACATTGACACACACAGCAGCACATTGACACACACGGCAGCACACTGACACACACAGCAGCACATTGACACACACAGCAGCACATTGACACACACGGCAGCACATTGACACATACGGCAGCACACTGACACACACAGCAGCACATTGACACACACAGCAGCACATTGACACACACGGCAGCACATTGACACATACGGCAGCACATTGACACACACAGCAGCACATTGACACACACAGCAGCACATTGACACACACAGCAGCACATTGACACACACGGCAGCACACTGACACACACAGCAGCACATTGACACACACAGCAGCACATTGACACACACGGCAGCACATTGACACATACGGCAGCACATTGACACACACAGCAGCACATTGACACACACAGCAGCACATTGACACACACAGCAGCACATTGACACACACAGCAGCACATTGACACACACAGCAGCACATTGACACACACCGCAGCACTGACACACACAGCAGCACAATGACACACAAAACACTGACACACACACAGCAGCACATTGACACACACAGCAGCGCATTGACACACACAGCAGCACATTGACACACACAGCAGCACTGACACACACCGCAGCACATTAACACACAAAACACTGACACACACAGCAGCAGACACAGCAGCGCAAACATAGAGCAGCACACTTGACACACAGCAGCACAGACACACACCGACACGCAACCCATTAATAGCCCCATCATCATTACCACCACCCACCACCACCACCACCCCGCTCTCCTTACCACCCCCGGGGGCCCCACAAGGCGCCATTCGCCGCAGAGAACCTAGGCGCGACCGAGGCTTTGCTAATGGCGCTAGGCCGCACAGCCCGAGTCTCGCCTCCAGCTCCGCATGGGCTCAAGGCGACGCCCCGTCCCCCCGCCGCCCTCTCGCCGTCGACCTCCTCCTCCTGCCGCTCACCCTTCACCGCCCGCTCCGTCGTGGGCAGCTTCCCGTCCTTGAGCGGGGCGGCCATGGGGGACGCGAAGAGACGGAGACCGAGAAGAGAGCTGAGACCCGAGACCCGGATGCGCGGTGACGTCTCCGGGCTGCAAGCCCACCCCCACCCAACATGGCCGCCAAGCCCCGGCCACGCCCAACATTGCACCCCCCCCCCACCCAACATGGCCACCACGCATCGGCCACGCCCAACGTTACTCTCCCCAACCCAACATGGCCGCCAAGCCCCGGCCACGCCCAACATTACACCCCCCCACCCAACATGGCCGCCGCGCCCAACATTACTCCCCACCCAAGATGGTAGCTACGCCCAACATTACCCCCTCCCACCCAATATGGCCACCACGCCCATTACCCCCCACCCAACATCGTCGCCAAGCCTCGGCCATGCTGAACATTACACCCCACCCAACATGGCCGCCAAGCCCCGCCACGTCCAATATTACACCCCACCCAACATGGCCGCCCCGCCCGCACCGACACAAAAACCCCAAAATACCCCCCCCCCCCCACCGGGCCGTGCCTCCCCACCCAACATGACCGCCAGTCGAGGACAACCAGCCGCCATCTTAAGTGGGGAGAAGCCGATGGGGCGTGGTATTTTGCTCCTCCCCCCCTCGTCCTTGGCGAGTCGCAACGCGGTGACGTCACAAACGCAATGCGGCAGCCCCCCCCCCCCCCCATGGGGCGTCCCTACGCAAAATGGCGGCGGTGGCGTCACTTCGACGCTCACTCAGTAATCAAAATCCGATGATCTATGAAGCTTTTTTTACCAATCTCCAGTAGGGACGAGGGGGGGGGGTCAGAACGTTACTGCAACAACACAATACTATTCATAAAATGGGACCTTTTTGCCAGTATCAAATTTTGAAAAAATAATAGATTTTCCCCTTTCTGGCAATGAAACAGGAGTTGTTAAGATGTTCAAACACCAAGTAGAAACCTTTTGCAAGGAATCACTTTACTGCATTAACCACACACAGTGCTTGTGGTGAGCATGCAAACAAACATGTTCTGATATGTGCATTGTCTGAAACTGTTCAATTAAGCAAAGTATACGAATTACAATTAGACACGTTAAACTAAGTCTAGATTTGAAGTTTTCGTGACTGCAGGGATCCATACTCTTTGGTTCTTTCGGTAAAGTCACGTAGGTATAAAATAAAATAAATTATATCAAGACGTTAAACTCAGTGTTAAAAAAAACACGTTTCTTTTTTGTGCGCGCATGTGTGCCGATGTGTGTGTAAGATGGACGATGATCTGAATCGGTCCTGGGCCTCCCCTAGGTTGACTCAGCCTCAAATGAGTACCCGGTGCGATGTGTAAACATCGCCACTAGGGGAGACAAAGGCGGCCGGGCGTGGTGCCGGCCACCCACCCCCCATCGTGTACCGTTCCGGCCTTCATCGGTGCTAATCGCTAACAGCACTTGCCCCAACAGTCTGTTACTGGCTATACCTGGGATCTTTGTCTTTGTGAGAGTTAGGCTCCATGGAGGAGACTCCTGGGTAGTTTTGCTTACCAGGGTGATGCGTAGTCTATGCTTGAGGTTATCGAGGGATGATGATGTTTTGGCAACGTCAATGTAAGGAATTCCAGAGTTAGGGAACCTCTGTGTCCGATCGATAATTGACTGGGTTCGTGGTGCGTAGGGCGAAGATGGTCGGAGTGTCTTGTGTTGTATGCATGGATTTGGGATTTAACTTGGAAGGTCGTGCACAGTATAGGGAAAATAAGCAAATCACTTTAAAATGTATATGTACGATTCAGAATATTTATTTGTACTGGAGGAAAAATTGCGATGATTTATTAAGCTCTTTTTTACACATGTCCAGTAGGGATCATTGGTCAGAACGTTACAACAAAGGATACAAAAAAACACGATTGGTCGTGCAAAGTATAGGAAAGGCAAGCCAATAACTCACACACACAAAATGTACACGTAATATTGTACTATTTTGTATTTGACCAGATGTAAGACTCCACATCATCATCCCTCAATAACGTTTTCAGAAGCGACCCTGGCTATCACAAATGATAGCCCCCAGTGGCGGCTTCTGCAAAATCTCTCAGGGGGGGCAAATGTCTGGATGATTGATAAGGATAAGGTCCACCCATGCAATTGTAATATTCTTGAATGAGACCGACACTTCGTAGAGGCCACACGCTTTTATTCCGATAACACTAGTCCTCAGGACTCACTGGGGAGACAGTCCCACACACACAACCTAGGGAGGTACAGCCTCCGGCTCTATTCTCATTTCTCTCCTTCCCTAGCCTCCAGCTACTCTGTTACTCTCTTCCCTAGCCTACAGCTACTCTCTTCCCTAGCCTACAGCTACTCAGCCCACTCAGTTCCAGCGGGGCGGCATCCTTGAGGCTTGGGGGTCCAGGATCTCCGGCTCTCCTCCTTCAGCTTCTCCTCCGATCCCCCTCCCCACTCTCCGGGAGCCGTCTTATATATCCCCTCTCTCTGAGGGGCGGGGGTGTCTCGGGCCCTGGCTCTCGCCAGCCCCCTCCCCTCAGAGCCGTTCCAACCACCTCTCGTCCCTGTCAATCCGGGCCGGTCCAGACCGGTACGTACCTCTCCCCTAGCTTGTGTGACCTGTGTGACCTGTGTCAACCTTGGTGTCAACCTTGACCACCACACAATGAATAAATTAACAGCTTAAGCATGTAAAGGCAACGTCACTTCTTTAATATTAATGCAAAATAAAGTGACTCTTACAATACATCGTGTTTGTTTAAATACTCAATATTAAAACAAACCACTCAAGTTTATTTTATTAAAGATTCCACTAGGTAGCGATAAATTATATTGTTGGATGAAACGTGCTTACGTATGATGACGTTAGCACGTATGATGACGTAAGCACGTTAGGGCTTGCCCTCCCGGAAGCCATAGAGAATGCATTGGAGCGCCCCCATTCGAAAAAAAACATCTTTGAATGTAAGTCTATGGGGCCACTCGGGGCGATTCTCAGCCGGAGTGAAATCGCCCCAAAAGAGGCGGTACTCCACAGAACGTGACATGACGCTGATTGGACTATATCCAGAGGCTGACAGTGACGGCTAGCGTGACTCTGTGGTTGAATGACATTGGTGGTGCGTCGCCCAATCGCCCTAATGAAGAAACCGCCCCTGATAGCCCCACAACCCAAATGGCCGAAAACATCATCACGTGGAAACGGATATCAGTAGCCAATCAACTCGAAGCGCGTGGTGATGTCGATTCTAAATGTGGAGGAAAATAGCCGGAGGAAAAATAAGTAATATTAAAAAGAAACATTTTTTTAAACACGCTTTTATGAAATGTACTAGTAATGGAAGAACTCCACGACTCCAGAAAGTGGCCCCAAAGCTTGCCATAACGTAAGGACCGTGGCCAATTAGACCCAAGCCGAAACATAACATATAAAAAAGAACGTTTAAAATTTTTTTTTTTTATGATAGAATATAGTATTGTCATCAGTATGACATAAGTATACCAAGTTTGCAGTCGATACCACATTGGGAAGTGGGTTAAAATTGAGTTACAAGATTTGAGGATACAACAACAACAGAGAGAGTGAGTTAAATGAAAGCGTGTAAAAACCACACAGTGACCACCGCGGGAAGAGATAGAGAGGCGCAGATTCGAAATATACAACAGCAGCCGGCGTCGTCAGGGTTGGAATCGAACCCACAACCTCCTGTATTCCAGGCGAGGGAGCTAACATCTCCTGGCCACCGTGGTGATGATGAGAGAGAGACACAAACTCCAAACATACAGCAGGCATTGTCAGGGTCGAGATCGAACCCAGGACCTCCCGTATACCAAGTAAGGTATTTAACATCTCCTAGCCACCGTTGTGATGATGATGAGAGACAGACGCAGACTCCAAATATACAGCAGCAGGCATTGTCAGGGTCGGGATCGAACCCATGCCCTCCTGGAAACAAGGCGAGGTAGTTAACATCTCCAAACCACCGTGGCGCTGTGGTACAATAATAAGTAATATTTTAAAATATATATTTTTAAAAACACGCTTTAATGAAATGTACCCTCCGAGTAATGGCAGAACTCCACGACTCCAGGAAGTGGCCCCGAGGCTTGCCACAACGTAAGGAACCGTGCTGGTTTACAACCAACGTGAGTTGAGCGTGGACAATTAGACCCAAGCCGAAGCATAACATATAAAAAAGAATGTTTAAAAATACTTTTACATTTTTTGGGATAGAATATAGTCTTGTCATCAGTAAGACATAAGTATACGAAGTTTGCAGTCGATACCACATTGGGAAGTGGGTTAAAATTGAGTTACAATATTTGAGGACAAAACAACAACAGAGTGAGTTAAATAAAAATTGTATAATAATAAAAAAACGGACCGCAACGGAATCGCTTTATCGTGGAGATATCAGCCAATCAAAAATACCCCACCAGGGGGCGTGTCACGCGACACTACACTGACAAATGGCGAGTATAGCGATCCGTGGGTCGCGTTATGGCGAGGAATTGACGCAGCGATTAACCCCGCAAAATTTGCGGTCGACTTTGAGCCTGTTGCCGGATCAACTGAGCAAGAATCGTAAGGATTGACCTCGATTCACGATCCGCGGCGACCATATATGGGCAAAGACACGCCTCCTTTATGAGACGCCACTAAAGCTGTCAACCCCTTATCAGTGCCCCTACCTTCTTCCAGACCCATTCAGACCTTATCGGTCACTCCATGCCCTTATAAATCTCAACGTTCATCCTACAAAGTCCCATCACAAGGGAGAAACACAAAATAGACCATTTTTTGTGCCCGTATTGAAACGGCTGTACACCGTGTGGAGCTGAAAACTCAATTTCCCTGTACACAAAAATACGGGATAAACCATGTGAGTTGACAGCTATGCATCACGCCCACTTACTTCCATAACTGGGCAGATCTCTGAGTGTTTGGCTGCTGGCATAACTTTGCACGTAACGATGAATCATTTGTGATGGCCACGAAAAAGAACTACACACCTCAATGGGGCATTATCTGGTAAAATAAAAACAAAGTTAAGTCTATGGGTCTGTATGGAGCTCCGTGGGTCTCGTATGTGTCTCCATGTATCACC